GGTTGAAGTGAGTTGACATTGCACCACTGCACTCCAGCCTGGGCCACAGAGCGAGACTGTTTAAAAAAAAAAAAAAAAAAAAAAAGCCGGGCGCGGTGGCTCAAGCCTGTAATCCCAGCACTTTGGGAGGCCGAGGCGGGTGGATCACGAGGTCAAGAGATCAAGACCATCCTAGTCAACATGGTGAAACTCCATCTCTACTAAAATACAAAAAATTAGCTGGGCATGGTGGTGCGTGCCTGGAATCCCAGCTACTCAGGAGGCTGAGGCAGGAGAATTACCTGAACCCAGGAGGCGGAGGTTGCGGTGAGCCGAGATCGTGCCATTGCACTCCAGCCTGGGTAACAAGAGCGAAACTCTGTCTCAAAAAACAAAACAAAACAAAACAAAAAAAAAGGCAGGCTATCTCCACAAATAAATTGATCTAGAAAAACTTATCCACGAAACAAATAAAAGTACAGCATTTTGAATGAGCTGAAAGACACTTATTAAGATATACATATATGACCAGGTACAGTGGCTCATGCCTGTAATCCCCCAATTAGGGAAGCCAAGGCAGGTGGATCACTTGAGGTCAGCAGTCGGAGACCAGCCTGGCCAACATGGCAAAACCCCATCTCTACTAAAAATATAAAACTTAGGCAGGTGCAGTGGTACACACCTGTAATCCCAGCTACTCTGGAGGCTGAAACACGATAATCGCTTGAACCTAAGATAAGGAGGCTGTAATGAGCCAATATCATACCACTGCACTCCAGCCTGGGTGACAGAGTGAAACTGTGTTCAAAAAAATAAATAAATAAATAAGAAATAAAATAAAATATACATATATATCATATATTGGCTGGACACAGTAGCTCTCGTCTATAATCCCAGCACTTTGGGAGGCAGAGGCAAGCAGATCACTTGAGATCAGGATTGAAAGCAGCCTGAGCAACTTAGAGATATCCCATCTCTACAAAAATAAAAACTTAGCCAGGCATGGTAGCACGCACCTGTGGTCTCAGGTACTTGAAGGCTGAGAGGATCACTTGAACCTGGGAGGTGATGGCTGCAGTGAGACAAGATCATGCCACTGCATTCCCGCCAGAGACCCCATCTCAGAAAAAAAAAAATTAAAAAGTATATTATACATATTAAATATATAAATAATATATATAAGTTTCTTAAATTACACACACACACACACACACACACACACACACACACACAGATTTTTTTTTTTTAAGAGAAAGGGTCATACTCCACCGGGCATGGTGGCTCACACCTGTAATCCCAGCACTTTGGGAGGCTGAGGCCGGCGGATCACAAGGTCAGGAGTTCGAGACCAGCCTGGCCAATATGGTGAAACACCATCTCTACTATAAAAATACAAAAACTAGCAAGGTGTGGTTTTTGTGGTGCACACCTGTAGTCTCAGCCACTCAGGTGGCTGAGGCAAGAGAATCGCTTGAACCCAGGAAGTGGAGGTTGCAGCAAGCTGAAATTGCACCACTGCACTCCAGCCTGGGCAATACAGACAGACTCAATCTCAAAAAAGAAGAGAAAGAGTCATACTTTGTCACCCAGGATGGAGTACAGTGTCATGATCATAGCTCATTGTAACCTCTTAACTCAAGGACTTATGAAGTTCTCCCACATCAGCCTCCTGAGTAGCTGGGACTACAGGCACACACTACCACCTCTGGCTAAATTTTTTTTTTTTTTTGAGACAGAGTTTCGCTCTTGTTACCCAGGCTGGAGTGCAATGGCGCGATCTCGGCTCACCGCAACCTCCGCCTCCTGGGTTCAGGCAATTCTCCTGCCTCAGCCTCCCGAGTAGCTGGGATTACAGGCACGTGCCACTATGCCCAGCTAATTTTTTGTATTTTTAGTAGAGACGGGGTTTCACTATGTTGACCGGGATGGTCTCGATCTCTCGACCTCGTGATCCACCCACCTCGGCCTCCCAAAGTGCTGGGATTACAGGCTTGAGCCACCGCGCCCGGCCTAATTTTTTTTTTTTTATAGAGATGGAGTCTTGCTCTGTTGCCCAGGCTTGTCTTGAACTCCTGGGCTCAAGCAATCTTCCAGACTTGGCCTCCCAGAGTACTGAGATTACAGGTGTGAGCCACCATGCCTGCTGGAAGAAAGAAATTTAATGCTGTTAAAGAACAAAAATCAAAGGCCGGCCGCGGTGGCTCAAGCCTGTAATCCCAGCACTTTGGGAGGCCGAGACGGGTGGATCACGAGGTCGAGAGATTGAGACCATCCTGGTCAACAAGGTGAAACCCCGTCTCTACTAAAAATACAAAAAATTAGCTGGGCATGGTGGCGCGTGCCTGTAATCCCAGTTACTCAGGAGGCTGAGGCAGAAGAATTGCCTGAACCCCGGAGGCGGAGGTTGCGGTGAGCCGAGATCGCACCATTGCACTCCAGCCTGGGTAACAAGAGCGAAACTCCGTCTCAAAAAAAAAAAAAAAAAAAGAACAAAAATCAAATTAAAAAAACTTTTCAGTCTTTCAATGAGATAAAATGACTCATGAAATAAGCAGAAATAAAAGATAACTTTTCACAAATGAAGACTATACTAGAAAGAGCAAAAGACTGAATAAACACAACATATTTCTTAAAAATGGGAAATTTTGAGGCATGTGCAGTAGTGCATGTCTACAGTCCCAGCTACATGAGTTCAAAGCTATAAAGTGCCATGATTACATGTGTGAATAGCCACTGCACTCCCATGTGGGCAACACAGCAAGACCCTGTCTCTTAAAGAGAGAAGTTTTGAAACTGAATAAAGAAAAATATAAAAAAGGCTTAATGTATAATAAGTGAAAGAAAGCTCAAAAAAAAAAAAAAAAAAAAAAAAGATTTGATATAAAGTGACCAGGGAGAGTCAAAAAGGAGAGCCAACATATGTACAAGAGTCCTTAAAGAAGAAAACCAAAGTGATTGGAAAACCAAATACTAAAAATCGTCATTCAAGAAAATTTTGCTGAAACTTTTAAAAAATGCACATGAAACTACAAACTGAAAGTGCACTCTGTGTACCCAGAAAAACTGACAAAGAACACCACCAAAATATATTCTAGTAAAACTACTGATTTTTAAAGAAAATCACTTACAAAAAAGATTTTAAGATAATCACATAAAAGGAAAAAAGATCAGACTGGCATCTTTTTATAGCGATGCTTTATTCCAAAAACAATAAAGTAACACATTTAAGACAATGAAGGAAAGAAAATGTGAACCAAGAATTTCATATACAGCCAAAATAATTTTCAGGTGTAAAGTCACAAACAAGGTATTATCAATAGGCAATATTGTTTCCATAAGCCCTTTTCTCAGGAATCTACTCAGTAACAAGTCACAAACCACAAAAATGACTGAAGAGACATTGACATAAGGACTGATTATCGGTGGACGTTAACATCACAGAAAGAACTAGACATATATACCTCCTGCTGGAAGTACACCACCTATGAAGTAGTTCTGCCCTAAACAAACAAACCTGAATATTCAGAAAATATAGAAGAGAGGAACATGTTAAATGACATCATGGGGAAGCAATACTCTAGATTTATGACAACTGAGTTTCTTAAACAAAAAAAGCTGCAAAAAAATAAAAAACAAAGGAGTAATCCATATATTAAAAGCTACTTAATAAAATCACACAATGTAAGAATCTTATTTGGACCCAGATTCAGGAAAACCAACAATAAAAGAAAATAAGCATTTGTAAGACAACTGATAATGTGAAATGAATTAACATTTCTAATTATTAATTTTTTAGATGTGATAACAGTATTGTTGGGTTTTTTTTTTTGAAAATTCTTTTTAGAGACACATACCCAAACATTTATGGATATAATAATATGATATCTAGGTTTTGTATCAAAATGATTCTGAAAGAGGAGGTAGGTTGGCATATAGATAAAATAATTATTGAAACTGGAGGATTAATACATAGGGGTTCATTATACGATTCTATCAACTTTTGTACATGTTTGAAATTTTCTATGAAAGGTTTTTTGTTTGTTTGTTTTTTGAGATGGAGTCTCAGTGTGTCGCCCAGGCTGGACAGTAGAGGCACCATCTCAGCTTACTGAAACCTCCACGTCTTGGATTCAAGCAATTCTCCTGCCTCAGCCCCCTGAGTAGCTGGGATTACAGGCACCCATCACCACCTCTGGCTAATGTTTGTAATTTTAGTAGAGATGGGGTTTCACCATCTTGGCCAGGCTGGTCTTGAACTACTAATCTCAGGTGGTCCACCCGCCTTGGCCTCCCAAAGTGCTGGGACTACAGGCGTGAGCCACCGCACCCAACCAAAAGGTATTTTTTAAGAAAGAAAAAGACACATAGATTTAGCATTCTGATTCATGAATTTAATAAAAATTTCTAGTTTTATAACACAACTCTAAAATATTACTCTCTTTTACTTGTAGAAATTAATTTTGTTTCAACCTTTATGATCTCCACATCACATTTTCAAAGTCTTAAAAAACTGATAAAACTTGATAGAGGTCAGGTGTGGTGGCTCAAATCCATAATCCCAGTACTTCAGCAGGCCAAGGAAGGGTTGAGGGGGAGCGGATTACTTGAGCCCAGGAATTCAAGCCCAGCCTTGGCTACATGGTGAAATCTCACCTCTATAAAATATGCACAAAATTAGCTGGGCATTGTGGCATGCACCTGTAGTTCCAGCTACTTAGGAGGCTGAGGTGGGAGAATCACCTGAGCCCAGGAAGTCTAGAATGCAATGAACCATGATTGTGCCACTGCATTCCAGCCTGGGCATAAGAAGGAGACCCTGTCTCAAGACAAACAAACAAACACTGATAAAATTCTATCCTGGTATCAGGTCACAGGATTATAGGTGTGAGCCATTGCACCCAGCCTTACAACTCAATTTTGAGAATAACTTATCAAATCTGGTCCACAAAGGACAATATGATTTTTGTTCAGTGATTCATCCTCGTAATTTCCATTAGAGAAAGCATTAAAAAAAGACGTACCTGTTTTATGTGTGGATTCATGGCCATTTCAGTTACATTCTTCTTGGTCTCACAGAAAATAATAGCCCTCCCTTCAGACCCACTGTAGACTTGAAGGACATCTCCAATAACTGCTGGCCTCTGAGACCAATGACACTGGATAGCCAAATGCTTTGAAGAAAGAAAATATCATATTATTTGTTTCATTAAGATTATTTAAAAATATTTCTCTAGTAATATTTTTTCTATCTGTTCAAGAATTAGCCTTCCTGGAAGTCTGTAAGACAAAGACTCTCCTCAGCCACACTTACAAACAAGATAGACAAAGGGCCATCAATAAACAACTTGATGAAAGAATAAACAAACTGCAGTATATTGAAACAGAACACCATTCAGTAATTAAAAGAAACCAACTACTGATATACATGGAAAAACATGAAGCTTAAAAAATATACTGAGTGAGGGCCACGCGTGGTGGCTCACACCTGTAATCCCAGCACTTTGGGAGGCCAAGGCGGGTGGATCACGAGGTCAAGAGATCGAGATCATTCTGGTCAACATGGTGAAACCCCGTCTCCACAAAAAATACAAAAAATTAGCTGGGCATGGTGGCGCGTGCCTGTAATCCCAGCTACTCAGGAGGCTGAGGCAGGAGAATTGCCTGAACCCAGGAGGCGGAGGTTGTGGTGAGCTGAGATCGCGCCATTGCACTCCAGCCTGGGTAACAAGAGCAAAACTCCACCTCAAAAAAATAATAATAATAATAAAAAATATACTGAGTGAATAAAGTCTTACAGAAAATGACCACATACAGTACCATTCCATTTATATGAAGTTCTAGAATAGGCAATACCAATCTATTGTGGAAGAAAATCAGAACAGTGATTGTCTCTGAACTGAGGATACTAATTGGGAAGGGGCATGAGGGAACTTTCTGGGATGATGGCAATATTCGATACGATGATAAGGGTTTGGGTTACACACATACGACTTTTTCAAAAATAGGCAAATGTACACAAGATTTTGCATTTCATTGTTCATAAATCTTATCTCTAAAAATTATAAATATAATATGAATGAGCCTCAAAACATTATGCTAAGTGAATGAAACAAGACATAAAAAGTCACATATTGTATGATTACATTTACAGTGACGCATTGCCTAATGACAGGGATACGTTCTGAGAAATCTACTGTTAGGCAGCTTCATCATTATGCAAACATCATAGAGTTTACCTACATAAACCTAGGGTATAGTCTACTACACATACCTAGGGTATATGGTATGTCCTATTGCTTCTAGGCTACAAACCTATACAGCATATTACTGTACTGAACACTGTAGACAATGGTAAGTATGTGTGTCTCTAAACATATCTAAACATAGGAAAGGTACAGTAAGAATATGACATAAAAGATAAAAACTGATACACATGTATAGGACAGCTCCATTATAATCTTATGGGACCACCATCATATATGTGCCATCGTATATATGGTCCACTGATGACCAAAACATCACTATGCGGCACATGAATGTAGATGAAATATCCCGAACAGGTATATCCATAGGATAAAAAGCAGGCTGGTAGTTGACAATGGCCAAAGGAGGGAATGGAGGCTCGGCACAGTAGCTCATGCCTGTAATCCCTGCATTTTGGGAGGGCAACGCAGGCAGATCACCTGAGGTCAGGAGTTCGAGACCAACCTAGCCAACATGGTAAAATCCCACCTCTACTAAAAATACAAAAAATTAGCCAGGCGTGGTGGCAGGCACCTGTAACTCCAGCTACAGGGAGGCTGTGGCAGGAGAATTGCTTGAACCTGGGAGGCGGAGGTTACAGTGAGCTGCGATGGCACCACTGTTTTCCAGCCTGGGCAACAGACCAAGACTCCGTCTCAAAAAAAAAAAAAAAGCAGCTGGGTGCGGTGGCTCACGCCTGTAATCCCAGCACTTTGGGAGGCCAAGGCGGGTGGATCACGAGGTCAAGAGATCAAGACCATCCTGGTCAACATGGTGAAACCCCATCTCTACTAAAAATACAAAAATTAGCTGGGCATGGTGGTGCGTGCCTGTAGTCCCAGTTACTCGGGAGGCTGAGGCAGGAGAATTGCCTGAACCCAGGAGGCGGAGGTTGCAGTGAGCCGAGATCGCGCCATTGCACTCCAGCCTGGGTAACAAGAGCGAAACTCCGTCTCAAAAAAAAAAAAAAAAAAAGCAAGAAGGGACTGGGGAGTAACTGCTTAATGGTTCTGCGGTTTCCTTTTGGGGTAATGAAAATGTTTGGAAATAGAAGTGATGGCTGTACACTGTAAATGTACATGACAGTGAATTGTACACTTTAAAATGGTTAGTTTTAGTTATGTGAATTTTACCTGTTTTAAAAACTGTAAATATGAGGCCGGGTGCAGTGGCTCAAGCCTGTAATCTCAGCACTTTGGGAGGCCAAGGTGGATGGATCATGAGGTCAAGAGATCGAGACCAACCTGGTCAACATGGTGAAACCCCATCTCTACTAAAAATACAAAAAATTAGCTGGGCATGGTGGCACGTGCCTATAATCCCAGCTACTCAGGAGGCTGAGGCAGGAGAATTGCCTGAACCCAGGAGGCGGAGGTTGTGGTGAGCCGAGATCACGCCATTGCACTCCAGCCTGGGTAACAAGAGCGAAACTCCATCTCAAAAACAACAACAACAAAAAAAAAAAACTGTAAATATGGCACTTTTCTTAAAAATATATATGCTAGGAAGGGCACGGTGGCTCACATCTATAATCCCAGCACTTTGGGAGGCTGAAGTGAGTGGATCACCTGAGGTCATGAGTTCAAGAGCAGCCTGGCCAACATGGTGAAACCCCATCTTTACTAGAATTATAAAAATTAGCTGGGCGTGGTGGCGGGCACCTGTAATCCCAGCTACTCAGGAGGCTGAGGCAGAAGAATTGCTTGAATCCAGGAGACAGTTGCAGTGAGCCAAGATTCGCACCATTGCACTCCAGCCTGGATGACAAGAGCGGAACTCCATTATAAAAAAAAAAGATATGTATGTTAAAATACTTATGGGGAGATCAGGTACAGTGGCTCACACCTGTAATCCCAGCACTTTGGGAGTTCAAGGCAGGCAGATAACCTGAGGTGAGGACTTTGGGACCAGCCTAGCCAACATGACAAAACCATGTCTCTACTAAAAATAAAAAAATTAGCCAGGCATGGTGGTGCATGCCTGCAGTCCCAGCTACTCATATGGCTGAGGGAGGAGAACTGCTTGAACCTGGGAGGTGGAGGTTGCAGTGAGCCGAGATTATGCCACTGCCCTGCAGCCTGGTTGACAGAGCAAGACTCTCTCAAAACAAAACAAAACAAACACAACACAACAAAGAAAACCCACACATCCTTGAGTGGTGTTAACAGCAAAATAAATAAAAATAAAAACCACAGGGATGCAAAACAGACTACAGGAAACTCATAAGACAAACGAGTTTTTTTTTTTTTTTTTTTTCCGAGATGGGGTCTCAGGAATGCTGTCGCCCAGGCTGGAGTGCAGTGGTGTGGTCTCAGCTCACTGCAACCTCCACCCCTCCCAGGTTCAAGTGATTCTCCTGTCTCAGCTTCCCGAGTAGCTGGGATTACAGGGGTCTGCCACCACGCCTGGCTAATTTTTGTATTTTTAGTAGAGATGGGGTTTTATCATATTGGTCAAACTGGTCTTGAACTCCTGATCTCAGGTGATCCACCTGCCTTGACCTCCCAAAGCCTGGGATTACAGGCGTGAATCACCACACCTGCCGACAAATGAGTTTTTTTAACAGAAAAGTGTGAAGAAAAAAAGGAACTATAGATGATAAAATATTTAGCCAGGCCTGGTGGCGGGCCCCTGTAATCCCAGCTACTCAGGAGGCTGAGGCAGAATTGTTTGAACCCGGGAGGCGGAGTGTGCAGTGAACTGAGATGGCACCATTGCACTCCAGCCTGGGCAACAAGAGCAAAACTCCATCTCAAAAATAAATAAATAAATAAATAAATAAATTATATATATATATATACACACACACACACACCATTACTTGAAGATGAAATGATGACTGGGATTGCTTCAAATGCAGGGGTGAAAAAAACATCACTGTTAAAGACTGGTAATAGGTAATGGGTACATCATGTTCTTTACACTATTCAATCTTTCTATTCAACTTACTATTCAATTTTATATTTGAAAATGTCCGTATTAACTTTTTTACTGATACATTTTACATTCTTACTGCAAACCTTTCAAACATTACAAAATATACAAAGCTTCCTTTTACCATCCAGCACTCCCCTTACCAGAAGTAATTATTATTTGAAGTTTACTCTTTCAAACTGTTTTTGTGTATTTACATAAATGCCTAAGGAATCCATTTAGCACTATTTGTCTATTTTTTAAAGTAGTGTAATTTCTGCACATATCATTGTATAATTTGTTTTTTTGTTTTTTTGTTTTTGAGACGGAGTTTCACTCTTGTTACCCAGGCTGGAGTGCAATGGCACAATCTCGGCTCACCGCAACCTCCGCCTCCTGGATTCAAGCAATTCTCCTGCCTCAGCCTCCTGAGTAGCTGGGATTACAGGCACGCGCCACCACGTCCAGCTAATTTTTTGTATTTTTAGTAGAGACGGGGTTTCACCATGTTGACCAGGATGGTCTTGATCTCTTGACCTCGTGATCCACCCGCCTGAGCCCCCCAAAGTGCTGGGATTACAGGTTTGAGCCACCGTGCCCAGCCATAATTTGGTTTTTATCACCAATTCTTTTTAACTACTGCATTACATTCTGCAGATAATAATGTTGTTCACCTCGTCGCCTAGTCTTTCCTACATACACATAAATATACATCTATTAAATAGAAAAATGATATATGGTACCTATTTATGTACCTACATATGTACCAGTCAACTGGTACATATTTATGCCAGTTGACTGACATAAATAATGTAAATATTACTTTTTTTTTTTTGAGATGAGTCTTGCTCTGTCACCAGGCTGGAGCACAGTGGCACGATCTTGGCTCACTGCAACCTCCGCCTCCCTGGTTCAAGCTTCTCCTTCCTCAGCCTCCTGAGTAGCTGGGATTATAGGTGCACACCACCATACCCAGCTAATTTTTGTATTTTTAGTAGAGATGGGGTTTCGCCATGTTGGTCAGGATGGTCTAAATCTCCAGAGCTTGTAATCTGCCCACCTTGGCCTCCAAAAGTGCTTGGATTACAGACGTGAGCCACCATGCCCAGCCTAATTCTTTTTTTTAAACATACTATTGGTTTAACTTTTAATTTTCGTGGAGTCAAAATTATAAACCTTTTCCCTTATGGATTCTTCTTCTAACTTACATGGTTGGGTTTTTGTGTGCGTGTGTGTGTTTTTTTGAGACAGGGTCTCCCTCTGTCACCCAGGCTGGAGTGCAAGTGGCGTAATTTCAGCTTACTGCAACCTCCACCTCCCAGATTCAAGCAATTCTCATGCCTCAGCCTCCCAAATAGCTGGGACTACAGGGAACCGGCCTGATGGCTGGCTAATTTTTCTGTTTTTAGTAGAGACAGGGTTTCACTATGTTGGCCAGGCTGGTCTCAAACTCCTGACCGCAAATGATCTGCCCGCCTTTGCCTCTCAAAGTGTTGGGATTACAGGCGTGAGTCACCATGTCCAGCCCAACTTGTGTGTCAGAAAAGCATTCCCAGGCAGAGCACGGTGGCTCACGCCTGCAATCCCAGTACTTTGGGAGGCTGAGACAAACGGATCACAAGGTCAGGAGTTTGAGACCAGCCTGACCAACATGGTGAAACCCTATCTCTAAAAAAATAAATTAAAAAAAAAAAAAAAAATAGAAAAGCATTCCCTTTCCTAAAATCAAAAAACTCTTCATTCACCTACATCTGCTTTAAGTTATTTTACGGCTTAATTTTTTAAATCTTTCAGAATTTTTTTTGGTATAGAGGAATGGAATGAGGATCATACATTTTTCACCTCAGCTTTCACAAATTATCTCAGCACTATTCTTTTCTAGTCAATATGAATCGCCTTGTCACGCTGTAAATATTTTGCTGTTTTGGGTTTTGTGGGGTTTCTTTGAGCTGCTTTAAAGAGAGAAATAAAGAAATACTTCAAATCTGTCTCTATGGCTGCTTGTATGTTTCCTATTAGGACTTTCCTATTCATGTGCTCCCCCAACCCCCGCCCTATTTATTCTATTCTGCTACTCAGTCTCAGACTACAAAAATATATAGGTATTTCATTGACTAAGAGCAGAAAACAGAGATTAGGTCTGAATAAGAATCCAAAACTTAGGTTTAGCTTCAACAAATTTCAAAAGTAAAATACCAGCTAAAAGCTAAAATCTATCATGCTAGAAAGCTACTTACTTCCACAGTGGTTGCAGCCTTTTGAGTCATTTTTCCAACAAGGTCAACCTGTTCATATCTGGATTTCATGTATTTTTTTGCAACTTTGTATACCCACTGTGGGCAAGTTGCAGAAAAAAGTAAAGTCTGAGGATTGTCTTCAGAATCTTAAATAAACAAAAAGAATTCAAATGTTTTCTTAATTTCCCACGATGTAGCCAGCTCTTAAAAATCCTCCCCAAGCTTCAAAAAAATAATGAAAATTTCAAAACTTGGGGTGAATTTTTAACACACAGAATTCATTGCAATTACTAAAATTTTCAACTTGCAAAAATGGGGGGCAATTATGAAGATAACTGAACCCAGAAGGAAGGGGAGAATTTAAGAAGGAACAATGAACAAAGAAATCAATGAGTTAGTAAAAGTACTGACTATAAAAAAAAATAGAAAAAAGCATAGGAAGCTAAGAAAATAGTTAAAAGGATGCTATCATACTTTTTTCAGACAGAACAGATACCAAATGATTTTAGTTTTGTTAGAACAAATTATCTCAGGACTATTCTTTTCTAGTCAATATGAATCGCAGGAGGACACTATAGAAGACAGAACTTTGTTAGAACACTGGGGACACTGAAATAAAAATTATTAAATAAAAACTTGTTTAAGATGGAAGAGTAATTGCTAATGTGCTTATTTTGAATTAGGATATACCAGTTTTGTAGGATTCGTGAATAATATCTTCAACTTGTTCAGCAAAACCTAAATCTAACATTTGATCCACTTCATCGAGTACAACATGGCGCAGTTTAGAAAGATCCAATCGGCCACTCTGCAGATGGTCTTTGATACGACCAGGGGTTCCAACCAAGATGTCAATACCATTTCGAATATGATTAACTGTGAGAAGAGAGAAATGCCACCAATATGTGAAAATCACACTTTCACATTATTTCTTTAAATTTAAGTATGAAACATATCTTTGCACTTCTTTCATACATATTTACTCACTTTGGCTTTGATATGATGTTCCACCATAAAAACATGCCACACTGAGTTTCCTAGTTATATCTTTGAAGTCTTTGGCTACTTGATTTGCCAGTTCCCTTGTTGGAGCCAAAACGAGTACCTAAGCAAGAGGTTTAAAAAACAAAAAGATATTTTTCTAAAGACTTACGTTAAGTTAAAATTAAGAAGACTTTTTTTAGGTGCATTTAAAACCAGGGATGTCAACATTAATGTCGTAAGTACTTAAAGACACAGCGCAAATAGCAAATAAGAACACTGGCATATATTTATTATATCCTCCTCCCTTCCTTCAGGTCTCTTCAGTGAGGTTCTCAAGCCTCCTTTCATATCTCCCTGCCCTTATCATTTCTTCTCAGCCCTGATACCACCTAAGATAGTGATATTTTATTTGCTGATTGTCTATCTCACCCAATAAAATGTAAGCTCCATGAAGGCAAGGATTTATGTCAGTTTGGGTTACTATATTCTAAACACTTCAAACAGTGCCTGGTACAGTACAAGAAACTCAGAAACATTTGTTAAATGAATGAATGTCCACCATGTGCTGGGAACTAATGCTTTACAGGAATTATCTAATTTGATTTTCATAAAAACCCATGGGTGGCATTATTACACCATTTTTATAGATGAGAGACTTGTGTCTCAGAGAAGTAAAGTCTTGCCCCAAATCAAACAGCTAGAAATGGTGGAGCTGGAATCTCCAGTTAACATCTGTCTCATAGAAAAGCTTTTTAAGGCAGCTCTGGGGCCAGGCATTATGGTTAACACATATAATCCCAACACCTTGGAAGGCCAGGTGGAAGGACTGCTTGAGGCCAGTAGTTTAAAACCAGCCTGGGCAACATAGTGTGACCCCAACTCTACAAAAAATTTAAAAATTAACCAAGTATGGTGGCACCTGCCTATAGTCCTACCTACTGGAGAGACTGAGAGGAGGAGAGAATTGCTTGAGCCCAGGAGTTCGTGGTTACAGTGAGCCATGATCGCCCTGCTGTACTCCATCCTGGGCAACAGGGTAAGACCCTGTCTCTTAAGGAAAAAAAAAAAAAAAAAAAAAGCAGTGTTGAGATTATGTCCTATTTCAGTCTTTTCCTAATTTCACCCCAAAAACGTAACTCTCCAAAAAGATTTATCCATTTATCCTGTAAGTCAGCATAGCTGATCCAAGACTATTATGATTTAATTATATTTATGTATGTTAATTTGCTCTTATAATACCTCTCAGAAGCCTTAGAAAGAACAAATTACTTTTAGTCATAGAGCTGTTCATATGATGATGATAATATTTTTCTTCATTTTTACAAACCTTAAGTGTACACAGCTTTGCTTTTTAGGTCAAATTTTAGGCTTATATTTTACTAGTCTCCTCTGTTGGTTGATTTTACATTTATAAAATAAGACAGATGGCTAGTACTCCAATAATATATGAACTAGCAATATAATTTCTGTAATACACTTCTTAAAAAGTCCATCTGGCCGGGCGCGGTGGCTCAAGCCTGTAATCCCAGCACTTTGGGAGGCTGAGGCGGGTGGATCACGAGGTCAATAGATCAAGACCATCCTGGTCAACATGGTGAAACCCCATCTCTACTAAAAATACAAAAAATTAGCTGGGCATGGTGGCACGTGCCTGTAATCCCAGCTACTCAGGAGGCTGAGGCAGGAGAATTGCCTGAACCCAGGAGGCGGAGGTTGCGGTGAGCCGAGATCGCACCATTGCACTCCAGCCTGGGTAACAAGAGCGAAACTCCATCTCAAAAAAAAAAAAAAAAAAAGTCCATCTGTGTGTGCTCACTTCAGCAGCACATACACTAAAATTGGAATGTCACAGAGATTAGCATGACCCCTGCACAAGGATGACATGAAAATTCATGAAGCTTTCTATACTAAAAGGAAAAAAGTCAACACTGAAATAAATGATATTGAACATTTACCAAATGACAAATAAATGAACGCCTCTTTAGAAAATTCATTTGTTTAAAAGCAAAGGTCAGGATGAAAAAAAAAGAGAAGGGTCAACTAGGCTGGGTGGGGTAGCTCACGCCTGTAATCCCAGCACTTTAGGAGGCCGAGGCAGGCAGATCATCCGAGGTCAGGGGTTCAAGACCAGATTGGCCAACATAGTGAAACCCTGTCTCTACTGAAAATACAAAAATTAGCTGAGCATGATAGTGGGTGTAACAGCTGTAATCCCAGCTCTTTCGGAAGCTAAGCCGGGAGGATCTCTTGAACCCAGGAGGCGGAGGTTGCAGTGAGCCAAGATTGCACCACTGCACTCCAGCCTGGACAACAGCAATGAAGCTCTCGTCTCAAAAAAAAAAAAAGGGTCAACTAAATATATAAACTGTAAATAAGATTTACTGACTTTATAATACATAAAATTATCAAAGACATATATGGATCCACGCACATCACATTCGTATGCAATAAGTACTTCACTTCAACTTCTCTTGAGATTTCTTTTTGTGAAAAATAACATATTTTTGCTTTATGCCACAGCTCCACTTTTCTATCTTGGGGGTACTAGTAACGTAAGACTATAGAAAGTCTTAAAGACTAAACAAAGAATAAAGACTAAAGAAAAGTATAACTCTTTATTCCCTTTCCGTTACATTAACATTTAAAGCTCTTACTCCCTATAATGATTACCTTTGGTGAGCGGCTTTTTTTAATTGTTTCTTGACTTCTTTGTAGTCTTTCAATCAAGGGAATGGCAAAAGAGAATGTCTTTCCTGTTCCTGTCCGTGCTTGAGCTATTAAATCTTTTCCTTCATATACAGGACCAAAAGTCTTAACTTGAATAGGAAAGAGGTATGTCACCCCTCGACCTGTAAAATGAGATTCCATTAAAATATTTCTTTAAGACTAGCATTAGGAAAAAATACATTCATTTGAAAATGACAACAGACCGGGCACAGTGGCTCACGCCTGTAATCCCAGCACTTCAAGAGGCCAAGGCAGGTGGATCACGAGGTCAGGAGTTGAAGACTAGCCTGGCCAATATGGTGAAACCCTGTCTCTACTAAAACTACAAAAATTAGCTGGGTGTGGTGACACGTGCCTGTAATCCCAGCTACTCAGGAGGCTGAGGCAGCAGAATTCCCTGAACCTGGAAGGCAGAGGTTGCAGTGAGCCAAGATTGCGCCACTGCACTCCAGCTTGGGTGACAGAGTGAGACTCCATCTCAAAAACAAACAAACAAAAAAAGCAACAAAACAAAACAAAACAAAACAAAACTGCATACCTTTCAGAAGCTTTATAGTCTCTTCAGAAATAGGGAAATTGGAGAAGGCTCCTTCTTTTTGTTCACGTGTTAAGGTCTGTAAAAATGAAATCAATGTCCTAAATAATATAATTTATATTAAACTCTTCCTCATTTACCGTTTTTAATTTTGCTAAACAAACAAATCAACTTTAGTTAGTACTTGCAAAAACTGTAATTAAACTTAAATTAACTTACAAGGAAAATTAGGGGGACACTGGTCGGGTGCAGTGGCTCACGCCTGTAATCCCAGCACTTTGGGAAGCTGAGGTGGGCAGATCACAAGGTCAAGAATTTGAGACCAGCCTGGCCAACATGGTAAAAACCTTGTCTCTACTAAAAATACAAAAATTAGCTGGGCGTGGTGGTGCGCACCTATAGTCCCAGTTACTCGGGAGGCTAAGACAGGAGAATCCCTTGAACCCGGAAGGCAGAGGTTGCAGTGAGCCAAGATCACGCCACTGTACTCCAGCCTGGCAACAGAGTAAGACTCTGTATCAAAAAAAAAAAAAAAAAAAAAAAAAAAAAAAAAAAAAAGGCCGGGTGCAGTGGCTCAAGCCTGTAATCCCAGCATTTTGGGAGGCCGAGGCGGGTGGATCATGAGGTCAAGAGATCGAGACCATCCTGGCCAACATGGTGAAACCCCGTCTCTAATAAAAATACAAAAAATTAGCTGGGCATGGTGGTACGTGCCTGTAATCCCAGCTACTCAGGAGGCTGAGGCAGGAGAATTGCCTGAACCCAGGAGGCGGAGGTTGCAGTGAGCCGAGATCGCGCCATTGCACTCCAGCCTGGGTTAACAAGAGCGAAACTCTGTCTCAAAAAAAAAAAAAAGAAAAAAAAAAAAGATATGCTACCCAGGCTGGTCTCACTATGTTACCCAGGCTGGTCTCAAACTCCCGGCCTCAAGAGATCCTCCCGGCCAGGCACAGTGGCTCACACCTATAATTCCAGCACTTTGGGAGGCCAAGGCAGGCGCATTACCTGAGGTCAGGAGTTGGAGACCAGCCTGACCAACATGGAGAAACCTTACCTCTCTACTAAAAATGCAACAAATTAGCTGGTCAGGGTGGCACATGCCTGTAATCCCAGCTACTCAGAACTCTGAGGCAGGAGAATCACTTGAACCTGGGAGGTGGAGGTTGTGGTGAGCCAAGATCACAACGTTGCACTCCAGCCTGGGCAACAAGATTGAAACTCCATCTCATTAAAAAAAAAAAAAAAAGAGAGAGAGAGAGAGAGAGAGAGAGAGAGGGATCCTCCTGCCTTGGCCTCCAAAACTGCTGGGATTATAAGCATGAGCCACCATGCCCAGCCAAAAAGGTTATTTATTAATCTAAATCATACTTACAGACAAAATTATAAAGATTAACATAAGCCTATAAACTAAGCTGAAAGAAATTACACAATGAGAAATGTAAAATACAAAAAGTAGCTGGGCGTCATGGTGGGTGGCTGTAATCTCAGCTACTTGAGAGGCTGAGGCAGGATAATTGTTTGAACTCAGAAGGTGGAGGTTGTAGTGAGTGGAGATCATAGCACTGCACTCTAGCATGGGTGACAGCGAGTCTGTCTGAAAAAAATAATTACAAAAATAATACACTGTTGGCCAGATGCAGTGGCTTAAGCCTGTAATCCCAACACTTTGGGAGGCCAAGGTGGTAGGATCACTTAAGCCCAGGAGTTCAAGATTAGCCTGGGCAACACAGTGAGACCTCAACTCTATAAAAAACAAACTAAATAAATAAATAATATAATATACCGTCACTGTAGACACTTTTGAAATTGGTCGAGCCCAGTAGCTTATGTCTGTAATCCCAGAACTCTGGGAGGCCAAGGCTAGTAGATCACTTGAACCTAGGAGTTCAAGACCAGTCTGGGCAACATAGTGAAACACCATCTCTCCTAAAAATACACAAATTAGCCGGGTGTGGTGGTATGTACCTATAGTCCCACCTACTCGGGAGGCTGAGGTGGGAGGATCACCCAAGCCCAGGGAGGATGAGGCTGCAGTGAGCCATGATCACACCACTGCACTCCATTCTAGGCAACAGAGTAAGACCATTTCTCAAAAGAAAAGAAAAGAAAAGAAAGAAGCCCAGCGTGGTGACTCACACCTGTAATCCCAGCACTTTGGGAGGCTGAGGAGGGCAGATCACAGGGTCAAGAGATCGAGACCATCCTGGCCAACACGGTGAAATGCCGTCTCTACTAAAAATATAAAAATTAATGGCATGGTGGCATGTGCCTGTAGTCCTAGCTACTCGGGAAGCTGAAGCAGGAGAATCACTTGAATCAGGGAGGCAGAGGTTGCGGTGAGCCGAGATCGCACTACTGCACTCCAGCCTGGCGACAGAGCAAGATGCTATCTCAAAAAAAAAAAAAAAAAAGAAAAAGAAAAGAAAAGAAAGAAACTACAGAAAAAACAGAAGCAAATTTAAAAATTTATAATCCACTCAGCTAAAGCCACATTTGAAACATACTCCTCCAATCCTCAATCTATGCACATAAAAATTTTATAACAGAAATAAAATCACATTATATATACCATTTTATAATCTTTTTTTTTCCCCTTTTTTTGAGACAGACTTTTGCTCTTGTTGCCCAGGCTGGAGTGCAAAGTGCAATCTTGGCTCACTGCAACCTGCGCTTCCCAGGTTCAAGCGATTCTCTTGCCTCAGCCTTCCAAGTGGCTGGGACTACAGGCAAGCACCACCACGTCCAGCTAATTTTTTGTATTTAGTAGAGATGGGGTTTCATCATGTTGGTTAGGCTGGTCTTGAACTCCTGACCACAAATGATCCACCAGCCTCAGTCACCCAAAGTGCTGAGATTACAGGCGTGAGCCACCACACCTGGCCTATTTTTTTCTTTTAACAAGATTAATGACTACCTTCTCTATTGTTTACCCTTTGGGATATCGGTATTCTATTACATAGCTATAGTATGTTTTGTCTAAACCAGTTGTCTACTATCAGACATTTAGGATGTTTAAATATTTTGCTATTATCAACAATATTACTGTGATAAAAGTACTTATTCATACAGCTTTGCACACCTCTTGGTCATCTCCTTAGGATAAATTCCTTTAAGCAGAATTCCTAAACTCTCATGTGATCTAAACAAAATAATAAACAATTAAACCTATTATAATACAGATTTTACCAGGCAAAATCTCAACAGAGTAATACGCAGCCCATAAATTCCACTGCTAGCAATACAGACTTACAGGACCTTATTTAGATCAACAAACATTTGTGCTTCTTGCCAAACAGCAAATTGACAAATAAGAAAAAAAAACTTCATGAGTCAACATCTTCTCCCAATGCTCCCTAAAGATTATGCATTAAGCTCAAATGTATATGAATATCAGCAATTATTATATTTAAAGAATATAAAGAATTATTATCAGCCAGGTGCAGTAGCTCACGTCTGTAATCACAGCAGCTTTGGTCAGGAGTTTGAGACCAGCCTGGACAACATGGTGAAACCCTGTCTCTACTAAAAATATAGAAATTAGCCAGACGCGCCGGGTGCCGTGGCTCAAGCCTGTAATCTCAGCACTTTGGGAGGCTGAGGCAGGTGGATCATGAGGTCAAGAGATCGAGACCATCCTGGTCAATATGGTGAAACCCCGTCTCTACTAAAAATACAAAATATTAGCTGGGCATGGTGGTGCGTGCCTGTAATCCCAGCTACTCAGGAGGCTGAGGCAGGAGAATTGCCTGAACCCAGGAGGCGGAGGTTGCAGTGAGCCGAGATCGTGCCATTGCACTCCAGCCTGGGTAACAGGAGCAAAACTCCATCTCAAAAAAAAAAAAAAAAAAAGAAATTAGCCAGACGTGGTGGCGCGTGCCTGTAACCCCAGCTACTCAAGAAGCTGAGGTAGGAGAATCGCTTGAATTGAACCCAGGAGGAGGAGGCTGCCATGAGCCAAAATTGTGCCACTGCACTCTAGCCTGGGTGACAGAGCGAGACTCTGACTCAAAAAAGAAAAGAAAAAAGAAAGAAAAAAATGCAAATAGGTGACCACTGAGCAATTCAGAATAACTTTAGGAACCCAAATGTAAAGGAAAGGTTTAAATTTGACCATTTATCCCACCTTGCCCCAAGAGAAAGGCCATACAATGAAATAAACAAGGGCCAAAGGAAAAAAGGCTCACCTGGACAGACTCTCTAGTCCAACTGAGAATACTAAACACTAAGCAAGAAATGTTATAGAGTCAAGTCTAATTAGCCTTAAAAAAATCAGATCTACTTGTATTTCAAGGATAGTGTTAAATGTAAAATAAAAAGTATCCATACCTCCTCTAGTTTATTATCACTTGATTTATGAGTAGAACTATCTAAGGATGATACTCGCTTTGATTTTTTTTCATATTCATCAATATCTCCATTTGGTAGACCTTTTCTTCTTGACTTATGAGATTTAGAGAATTCATCTGAAAGTCTGTTAAATCCTTCTTCAGTGTCTCCATTTAGCTTCTCTTTCATTTTAGTTTTTTTTGCCTTGGGAGCATCCAGGTCATCTGTAACACCATTTTCTCTTGTTTCTGATTTCTCATCTGAATCATAATGGTGCCTTGACTTCCTTCTGTCACTCTGTGAACAAACAAAGAAGCAGTGACAAGACAGTCAGAGGTTTCCTTTTGAGACTCTAGAGAAGTTAGAGCATGACTCTCCCACCAGGTCATCTCAGTCTACAGTTATTTGGAAAACCTACCTGGTAGAAATCCAGACTGGTTATTGATGCCAAGCTCTAAGCGTCACCTGTTGCTATCTTTCTCATCCCATTCCTAGCATTCTCAAGATTCAGCCTTTATTCCCTCTCTAATCCCACCATAAGACTTAAGGAAAATCAAAACATTTTCTTCTCAGGAAAAAAAGACAACCCCAGAATTATAAATTACTAAACAAACAAAAACTTCCAACATTTCCAAAAGAAAAAAATTAATACTTATTGAATACCTACCCAGCACTGTGTAATGTTTTCAGCTTATCTTGTTTAAATCTTCATAACAACCCTATAAGGGAAGTACAGGTCCATAATCCCTTATCCGAAATTGCGATATCCATAAAGCTCTGAAAACCGAAAGTTTTTTTGTAACTTATTTGGAGGCAAAACCTTACCTGAACTCATTTGACGGCAAAATTCAACTTGAACTACTGTGAGGCTCTTTAGTTTTTATTTATCCCACTAGTATGACTATTCAATTTAATATATTTAATATTAAGGTGTTTGATCACAGGTTTTGGGCCCCAAACCCTACTGGGATGTTACCCTTCTAAAAATCCCTGAATTCTGAATTCTAAAATACAACTAGTTCCAAGGATTTTGGATAAGGGATAGTGAACCTGTATTACCTTTGCCATTTTATTTATTTATTTTTGAGATGGAGTCTTGTTCTGTCACCCAGGCTGGAGTGCATTGGTGCAATCTTGGCTCACAGCAACTTGCACCTCCCAGGTTCAAGCGATTCTCCTGCCTCAGCCTCCCCAGGAGCTGGGACTACAGGCATGCAACACCACGCCCAGCTAACTTTTGTATTTTTAGTAGAAATGATTGGCCAGACTGGTCTCGAATTACTGACCTCAGGTGATCTACCTGCCTTGGCCTCCCAAAGTGCTGGGATTACAGGCGTGAGCCACTGTGCCCAGCCACCTTTGCCATTTTATACACAAGTAAACAGAAATTCTAAGAGATTAAAGAACTTGCCAAAGATCCACATGTGGCATTTCCTGCAACTGTAAGTACTAGAAATTGAATCTAACACTGCCTGCCCATTCTCTTTTCACATTATGCTTCCTCCCTGCACTTTGATAATTCACAGGTTAAAACAAAACAAAACAAAACTATATAATTAATATAAAAATTCAACTGTTACACTTCCATGGAAGGACAGTAATCTTTGGAGTTTTTTGTTTTGTTTTACTTTTTAAATTTAGTTAATAGAATTTTAAAAAATTAAAAAGCACTATTCTGCATCATCAATTTTAAAATGCCAAACTAGCGGCCAGTGTTGTGATATTTACAGAACGTAAGAAATGATTTGGGAATTTAGAACTTCAGTCTGGTGGCTAGCCGCAGCGGCTCATGCCTGAAATCCCAGCACTTTGGGAGGCCGAGGCAGGTAGATGACCTGAGGTCAGGAGTTCGAGACCAACCTGATCAACAGGGTGAAATGCTGTCTCTACTAAAAACACAAAAATTAGCCAGGCATGGTGGCACATGCCTGTAATCCCAGCCACTCTCAAAAAAATAATTACCCCATCAAATGTTCAAAATAGATAGTGATTAGTGACAGTAAAAACTACCACCACTAAAATGTTCACCATAACTTATACAACTTTTAGAGTTCTTTCACATACAATTTCCTCATCCATAAAATTGGAATTGCTGTAAGAATTGAACAGTATGTGTGAAAATGCTTTGCAGTTACACATTACATCATCTGATCTGAAGTTAACTGCACTAGCCCACATCTTTCCAAACCAATAGGTTCTACAGAAAAACAAGATTATTTATTGAGTCAGCCTTGGGGTCTGAATCGCTTCTGGGTCCTGCACTTCAGGGAGAAGTTGAAGCAAGGCAAAGTGAGGCTTCTCGGTCCAAGCCCAGTAACATCTCACGATAATTAATACGTTATTCCACTTTGGACCCACAATGCTTGTTGACACTCTCCATTTCCTTGGTTTCAGTTAGACTTTATATTCCCTTCTTACCTCTATCTTCTTACCTCTACCACATATCTTCTTCAATGGTTTCTCTCCTTCCTCCTCCAGTGGATGCTCCTTGAGTATCCGTTCTCTATGTTCACTCATTACTGTCTAAGTACTAAGGGCTCAACACGGACTTCTAGACTCCCTTCCTGGCCTGCATTCCAATTCTAAGAACCCAAGGACAAGCTCCATATCTCAGCACATCCAAAGCAAAGTTATCTTCATCTCAATACCAGACCACTATTCATTTGACTTTGTTTTTTTGAGACAGGGTCTTATTCCATCTCCCAGGCTGGAGTGCAATGGCTCAATCACGGTTCACTGTAGCCTCACTACCACACCTGGCTAATTTGTTTGTTTGTTTTTTGGGTTTTTTTCAAGACAGAGTTTCACTCTTGTCACCCAGGCTGGAGTGCAATGGCATGATTTCAGCTCACTGCAACTTCCACTTCCCAGGCTCAAGAGATTCTCCTGCCTTAGGACCCCGAGTAGCTGGGATTACAGGTGCCCACCACCATGCCCAGCTAATTTTTGTATTTTTAGTAGAGACAGCGTTTCACCATGTTGGCCAGGCTGGTCTTGAACTCTTGACCTCAGGTGATCCCCTTGCCTCAGCCTCCCAAAGTGCTGGGATTACAGGTGTGAGCCACCAGGCCCAGCTAATCTTTTCATTTTTTGTAGAGACAGGGTCTCTACAAAACTCTACTCAAACTCCTGGGCTCAAGCAATCCCCCCAAAGTGCTGAGATTACAGGCATGAACCACCGCGGCTAGCCACCAGACCAGTATTCTAATGCTCTATTTCTTTTAATTGGTATCCCAATCCATTTCCAAATCTCTGGTTATCTTTCATAGTTAAATGGCAGTCAACAAGTATTTCTGGAGAATCTACAATGTGAAAGTCATCAATTTACAAGAATATAGTGAAAAACAAGGATGGACAAAAAAATTGGACATTTTCCTCAAAAACTTTTGGGAAATACGTGGGATACATACAGAAAAAAATGAACTAATTTTACAAAGAAGCGAATAATGAACGTCAATCGAATGATAAAGATAGCCACTGAAACAAGCTTTCAAAGACCAGTAAGACTACTACACACTGGAGTTGTCAGAACAGACATAAACTAGACCTTGACAGGTGGATAGGATTTGGATGCAAAAGACAAGAAGTTCAAAAGGAGCCTTTTTAAAAATAACTGCTTGGTTTTCTGCTTACACTCTAGGTACCTTCAGTAGTCAAATTCACAGAGTAGAATGGTGGTTGCTGGGAGTGAAAGGAGACAAGAATGAGAAGTGAGTGTTCAATGGGCACAGAGTTTCAGTCCGGGACAATGAAAAGTTCTGGAGAAGGATGGTGGTGACAGCTGTAAAACGATGTAAATATACTTAATATCACAGAACTATATACTTAAAAATGGTTAAAATGATAAACATTATGTATATTTTACCACAATAAAAGATAAGTGATTAGCTGGAATGGCAAGTTTACCTTAGTGATAAGGTCAGAGGGGTAGATTCTGCTTTCTAAGGCTATACAAAGTAAGTCTCATTCTTTTGTTGAATGCCAGCCTTCGAATACTGCCACCTTAGCCTCTTCAGCTGATTTCTTTTTTCCAGGTCAAATGTCTCCAGTAAAAATTTTACCCGTGCATTTTTCAGCACTTTGTGATCCTCTGAGTGTTTCAGGATGTTTTTTTTCTTTTTCTTTTTTTTTTTTTTTTGTGGGAGGGCAAGGGGGTGGGAGGAGGAAAGACTCTCTAACTCCTCCTCTACAGGCTCCTTGAGGGCAGGGACCATTTCTTTACTTATTTAGTTTAAGCTCCTTGGTGCTCAGCAAAGAGTATGGTACAAATTAGGTTCAATAAATACCTGCGGATTGAATGAAAATACTGACAGTAAAGGCTATTAATAATGCAACCCACACGATCTCCATCACTGACAAATCCTGGCAAGGCTCACTGTCACACTTTTCCTTAACCCTCTATAGACTAATTATTGAGATTTGTAAACCTAAGATCGCTTTCCCCAGGATTCTTGCACAGAGGACAGGGTGACAGAGAAGCAACAAATATTCAAGGCAATCATTTTTTCTTAATCATCTTCTAAGAGGGCCAATGAGAACAAAATGACAGGCGTCGCTGCTTAAGGAAGGAGAGAACAGATTCCACGGTGATGGGAGCTTGAGTCAGCCCATCTCTGAGATTCAGGCGCCAACGGGAAGGGCTGAGGGGCCATGCTGGGGGTGGCCCAAAGCGCAGGGCCATCTTTCTCCAGGTCGGGAGTGTGGAGGTGGAAACGGTCCCTGAGCGACCTCAGAGGGCCGAGGGAGGCGCAAAGGGAGGCCCTCGGATGCTCCGGCCCGGTTCTGACAGGCCATCATCAGGGACAGACAGTCCCCCTCCCCGCCCAAGCCGGCGCAGCCCAAAAGGAGGCGCGGCCCATGCTCAGCGCACCTTTTGCCTCTCCTTCTTCTGGCTCTCGGACTCCTCCAAGGGTGCTTCCAGCTCCATAATGTCCCCCCAGAGGAGTTTCCCAGGCATTACTGGCCACCGCCGCCTCCCTCCGGGCACAGTGACCACAACCACCTACGGGCAGCGACAACGTGAAAGGAAGCGGGGGCAGGGCGGCCGCCCGGCCTTGGCCGTGCGTCATTTCCGGGACACGCACCGCACGGCGGGGAAAAATAATCCCGGATACTCTCGGTTTAAGTCCTTCCATTGCGCCCAAGCCTCTCAACCAATGAGTGCGAGAGATCTCGACCGGCCCACCCTTGTTCTTAAGTGATTGGTTACTACAGTAAAATCCTGGCCAATCTCCATAAAGGAAGCACGCGTTAATTAGCATAAATAGTTCGGATTGTCTTTCTCTCCCCCACACCTAACTGGTCTCCTCGGCCCCGCAGAGCCTCTTGGGGGGCTTCCCGGTATGCGCTGCTAGGGCTGGGAAGCCCTTCAACGGCGGTGGACGGGGCTGTTCGCGCGGTGGGCGGGTGGGTGCGTGAGCAGGCCCGTGCTGAGGCCAGTGGGCAACGCCACGCGCCGCCTCGCCATTTGCCGCCGGAAGCTGAAGCCCTCCGCCCCGCCCATTGCGAGGGAGGCGTTAACGACCAACGGCTTCGCGCGAGGCCACGGGCCTGGCGTCGGTGGAGGGGGCTTTGCGTGGTGTGGGGCGGGCCAGATGGGCCAGAGGTGTCGCCGGGAGCGGACAGACGTCCGTCCCTGAAGTCTTAGGTTTTAATCATGAAGGTGCTCCCTGGTTCATTGTGATCCTTCTCGTGGCTCTGCCTTTGACCTAGAGGAAACTCGAAACTGGAGAAAGGAATGTACTTGTCTGAAGTCACACAGTCTGTTAGTGGCACGGTCAGAACTAGAGAATTTAGCTCCTGAAGCTGAGATCACTGCTTTCTCTGCTACATCAATCTGAAAACTTTCGAGTTTTGCAGTGTTTGGGGGAAGGTGCGCCCATGAAACAAGGAATAGGAAAAACCTGAAGAAACCTCACATTTTCTGTTAGCGAGAAAAGCCAAAGTGTCTTCGACAGATTATCTATTTGCAGTGAATAAAAAAGGATTTAATTTTACCGATGGGGATTAGCTGGCCGTGAATCACAACCTTACACAAAACTGAAACCTTTGACAATACAAAGGGTAACTTCTTCCTTAGTGTTTGTATACCTTTGCTTACTCTCACCGTCGCTAGTTGGCTTCTCAGAGCCACTGATCTCTTCATGATCCTTTCGATCCAGCTGCTTTACCCAATGGAGACACAGGGCTACTCTCACAAACCACTCGATCCAGCTGCTTTACCCAATGGAGACACAGGGCTACTCTCACAAACCACTTGATAATGTCTAGCACACCGGTCTTATAACCTAAGCATCAAACTGTGTCTTAGCACAATTACAAATTGTTACATGTCGTGGAGTTTGGGACTTGGTCCTGAATAGCTGGAACCACAAACGTTAAATCTGTGATTACTTCAAGCCTTCTGCATAATTATGGCTTGGCCTGACGGCAAGGGCTACGTGTTTTTATATAACTTTATGGATTCAATACTTAAGAACACAAGGAGTGTTCATCTATTGATGACAGAGAAATGCACCTCTCTTCCTAGGCTATGAGAATAGCTATGCATCTCTAGATCTGCAGTTTTCTACAACATTTTGTCCTAATCCCTCAGTCCACTCCCAATTATACCATAGTAAGGTCTTTATAGCCCTACAACAGGGTATGACGATGTGCATAAAAACACAGTGTAGATATGGCTAAGAATGTCGCACGTAAAATTGGGATAAAAGGAACAGAGATGTTACTGCGTTTGAAGGTTAATAACAGATGAAGTAAAAGTTGAGCTCATGGACACTCTGGCATTCATTTGTGTGCCAGAGGTCCTAAGAACAGGTCTGAAAAAACGAAGGAGCAGACTGTTTAAATCTCCCTATTCAAGTGACTAACAAGTATACTAGTGTTTTAGAATGACCTGTGACTCCCAGCATTACAAACTCTGCCTTTCTCAGCCCCAGATTTGCCGAACCAAATCTCTGGCTGCTGTCGGTGTCTTGTGTCAGGTGGAAAGGACAAGTATAAACTGATGTGTCAGTAATTTGACCAAGGAGTGACTTAGCTAAAAAAACTATGTGTACCACATTACACATGTGTTCTCTGGGGATACCATTTGCCTCAACTAGAAAACTTGGGAATGGGATGCAGGAATGGAGAACTTTCTTCATATTTGCTCCCTCTGTAATTGTGTCTGATGAGATTTGGGGTTGGGGGAAGCATACTGTGCATGAATAATTAAAATGCACAATAATTCAAGATATAATCTTCTTAGAATATCTTTATTTTCCAAACATTTTACCAGAGTCACCGATATACTTTCTTTTACAAAACTTTAAGAGTTGGATGCTTCATCTGCTACTCCTTGTTACAAGGTCCTATAAAGATTTCCCTTGCCCTTAGTGTTAGCTTATTTAAACTGACTATTAATATATAAAAACAAGATGGCTATTTCCAGATTTGCCTCTCTCTAATCTTTTTAGAACTACAGGGCTACATTATTTTTACTCTTAAGTTAGACAGTTGAAGGTAAAAGCCATCAAATAACCTTTTTTGGATCTGCACGTCAATCTTATGTTACAAGAGGAATTGAACTGTTTTTCTTTATCTCCAGTAGCTTTGTGTTGAACCATCATTTTTAAATGCTGTGACATGGCAATAGTTTAAGGGGCAGTTAAAGACTGATTTAGGACACACTGGGGGCACATAATGAGTGTTGAAAAGGAAGAGCAGAAAGAAAATAAAGGCAAAGAGAATAGGAGGGTATTCTTCCATTGCCATGGGACCTGAACCAAGTCAATTTTAAAATCGTGCTAGTAAAGTGAGGAGAGTAATACTGACAGCACAGGAAATGATTACTGACATAACAGCACCACGAAAATGAGGTACAGAGGTGCCTACATTAGCTTGAGGTTTTGACAGCATTGGAAAGGAGACATCTTTGAGCACATTTACCTTACGTATATTTATGCATGTATCTAGTTCCTAATTCAAACCTTTAAATGATGTTTCAGTGCTTAACCTTTGGTCTCATTGTTTCTTTAGTCAGTTACCTTCTTTAGTCAGTTTTGAACCAAGTGGTAGGAGAGGGTTTCAGAGTCACATAAGTTACCCCAGAAGAGGGCACCATTACCCAAGTAATATTTGGAAACTGCTGCTTAAAGAGGAAAAAAATGTTACTAAGGTTTCAAAGGGAAGAAAGTTCTGTAAGACACCAGCAAAGTAATCATGACTTTGTCTTTGATGTCCCCATTCTTATTTCATGACACTCATATCTCTCTTCCCCACCCCTGTTAAGCAATAGCCTGTTTTCCCAACACCCAAAAAACGTTAAGCAGCTGTAGATACTCAAAATGCCACAGTTCCCAATCTTTTCCCTTCTACAGGCTCTTTTCATTGCTCTTCTTCATTGACTTGACATTTTGGTTTGGGGTGTGTGTGTGTGTGTGTGTGTGTGTGTGTGTGTGTGTTTGCACGCGCATCACTACACGAAAAAAGATTTGGGGCCAGGCACAGTGGCTCACACCTGTGAGAACTTTGGGAGGCCGAGGTTGGCGGATTACCTGAGGTCAGGAGTTCAAGACCAGCCTGGCCAAAATGGCAAAACCCCATCTCTATTAAAAGTACAAACATTACGCCGGGCGCGGTGGCTCAAGTCTGTAATCCCAGCACTTTGGGAGGCCGAGGCGGGTGGATCACGAGGTCAAGAGATCAAGACCATCCTGGTCAACATGGTGAAACCCCGTCTCTACTAAAAATACAAAAAAAATTAGCTGGGCATGGTGGTGCGTGCCTGTAATCCCAGCTACTCAGGAGGCTGAGGCAGGAGAATTGCCTGAACCCAGGAGGCGGAGGTTGCAGTGAGCCGAGATCGCGCCATTGCACTCCAGCCTGGGTAACGAGTGAAACTCTGTCTCAAAAAAAAAAAAAAAAAAAAAAGTACAAAAATTAGCACTTTGGGAGGCCAAGGCAGGTGGATCTCGAGACCAGCCTGGCCAAGATAGTGAAACTCCATCTCTACTACAAATACACACACAAAAAAAAATCTCAAAAAATTAGCAGGTCCCAGTGGCAGGTGCCTGTAATCCCACTATTTGGGAAGCTGAGACAGAAGAATCATTTGAAGCCGGGAGGCAGAGGTTGCAGTGAGCTGAGATCGTGCCACTGCACTCTAGCCTAGGCAACAGAGCAAGACTTCGTCTCAAAAAAAAAAAAAAAAGACCTGAGGCCATTCCACAGCCACACCTGCAAGTGGGGTTGCTCAGGCCTATACTGGGCACTTTTGATAGATCATCTCCAAGCCACAACAATCTTGTAAGGGAAGCATCATTCCTATCTCCCTTTTGCCGATGAGAAAACCAATTCAGAGGATTTGGTGACTTGCTCCATCACACAGCTACCAAGGATTTGGAATTCAAACTTGTGTCTGAATCCTAAGCTCAGGTCATTAAGCTGCCTCAAGAAAACAGTTTTCTCATTGAGAACAGACTGCATTAGGAAAGAGAAATCAAGAACTAAAGTTGCCACAAAAAGCAGTCATTATTGGGGAGAAAAATGCAGGTCATCTATTTTAAAGAATAATCTTCCAAACAACAATTTAATCGCATATATTCCCATCTTTAATGTCTGTGTTATATCATGAGTTTCATAGGAGAAAAGTTTACTGGTTTCATAATTAGCTTGATTTATTTATTACATGGAGAGTGTCCTAATGCATCCAGTGGCAAAATCAGATGGATTTCATTAGTATCTAGAGGCAGCTAAAGCCAGAAAAGACTTTGGATTCCTGACTCTACTAAGAAACTTGTTCCATCCAAAAATCAAAGATGGGCTGGGCATGGTGGCAATGCCTGTAATCCCAGCACTTTGGGAGGCCAAGGCAGTGGATCACCTGAGGTCAGGAGTTTGAGACCAGCCTGGTCAACATGGCGAAACCCTATCTCTACTAAAAATACAAAAGTTAGCTGGGCACGGTGGAGTGCACCTATAATCCCAGCTACTCAGGAAGCTGAGACAGGAGAATCCTTTGAAGCTGGGAGGTGGAGGCTGCAGAGAGCCGAGGTTGTTCCACTGCACCCCAGCCTGGGCAACAGAGACTACATCTCAAAAAAAAAATCAAAGATGAAACAGGTGTTGGTTGACAACTTTTCCAAGGGTTGTCAGGGATAGGTCCAGAGATAGAGGGCTGGAAATAATACTCAAGAATCTTGCATCAGTTCAGTATTTCACATGATCCTCGCTAAACCTTAGAAGTGTAAAATCTTACAGTTGGGACCATGCACAGTGGCTCATACCTGTAATCCCAGCACTTTGGGAAGCCAAGGTGGGTAGATCGCTTGAGCCCAGGAGTTCGAGACCAGCCTGGGCAACATGGCAAAACCCCATCTCCAAAAAAAAAACCCACCAAAAAAACCTTACAGTTGGAAGGATTCTTCAAAATTATATAGTTCAGTCAACCATTAAGCTAAATTCTAGAAATTGCAACATATTAGTAAAGGGATCACCAAACCTCTGCTTGAATGCCCTAAACGATAGGAAATTCATTCTTTTCCAAAGCTGCTTACTTCATCTTCAGATAGCTTTGTCTAATAGAAAATTCTTTCACGCTTGTAATCCCAGTAACTTTGGGAGGCTGAGGCGGGCAGAACACGAGGTCAAGAGATTGAGACTATACTGGCCAACATGGTGAAACCCCGTCTCTAATAAAAATACAAAAATTAAGGGCTGGGCACGGTGGCTCAAGCTTGTAATCCCAGCACTTTGGGAGGCTGAGGCGGGTGGATCACGAGGTCGAGAGATCGAGACCATCCTGGTCAACATGGTGAAACCCCGTCTCTACTAAAAATACAAAAAATTAGCTGGGCATGGTGGCACGTGCCTGTAATCCCAGCTACTCAGGAGGCTGAGGCAGGAGAATGGCCTGAACCCAGGAGGCGGAGGTTGCGGTGAGCCGAGATCACGCCATTGCACTCCAGCCTGGGTAACAAGAGCGAAACTCCGTCTCAAAAAAAAAAAAAAAATACAAAAATTAGCTGGGCATGGTGGTGTACACCCGTAGTCCCAGCTACTCAGGAGGCTGAGGCAGGAGAATCGCTTGAACCCGGTGGGGGCGGAGGTTACAGTAAGCTGAGATCACGCCACTGCATTCCAGCCTGGCAACAGCGAGACTGTCCCAAAAAAAAGAAAATTCTGCCAGGCACAGTGACTCACACCTGTAATCCCAGCACCTTGGGAGGCCCAGGCAGGATGATTGCTTGAGGACAGGAGTCCAAGGCCAGCCTGGGCAACACAGTGAGATCCTGTCTCTACAAAAAATAAACTTAGCCAAGCCTGGTGGTTTACGTCTATAGTCCTAGCTACTCAGGAGGCTAAGGTGGGAGGATCACTTGAGTCCAGGAGGGCGAGGCTGCAGTATGCTGTGATCACCACACTGCATTCTAGCCTGGGTGACAGAGACCCCATCTCTAAAAAAATTTTTTTTATTGTTAAAATTTTTCCCTTAATTTCCATTCACTGGTGCTGATTCCATGCTGTAAGACCCCCTAAAACAATACTCTCACCTCTACTTCCCCTACAAGTCTTTTCTGTACCAGATTACCCAAGTTTCTTGGTACTTGGAGCAGGGTTTACAGTGTCTTTGTGACAACAATCTTCTCAGAATGCAGTAGTACATCAGTTGGAATCCACTGAAAACAGTCAAGAGTGAGTGGTCTGACCACTGCAAAACGGAGCAGTGAATGTGATTTCACTTCCACAGAGACTGCATGAAGTCTCCGGTGTTGGCCTTCTCTCTGGACTTCACTGCTGTCAGTATGGTGACAGCCAGAAAGACACTCTCCAATTATTCAATCATTTTTGAGATCTAGGGCCTTGACAATCCTTAGAAACCTCTTAAAAAAAAAAAAAAAAATTGCCGGGCGCGGTGGCTCAAGCCTGTAATCCCAGCACTTTGGGAGGCCGAGACGGGTGAATCACGAGGTCGAGAGATCAAGACCATCCTGGTCAACATGGTGAAACCCCGTCTCTACTAAAAATACAAAAAATTAGCTGGGCATGGTGGCGTGTGCCTGTAATCCCAGCTACTCAGGAGGCTGAGGCAGGAGAATTGCCTGAACCCAGGAGGCGGAGGTTGCGGTGAGCCGAGATCGCGCCATTGCACTCCAGCCTGGGTAACAAGAGCGAAACTCTGTCTCAAAAAAAAAAAAAAAAAAAAAAAAAATTCCCTCTGGCTGGGTGCGGTGGCTCACCCCTGTAATCCCAGCACTTTGGGAGGCTGGGGCAGGTGGATCATGAGGTCAGGAGTCCAAGACCAGCCTGTCCAACACAGTGAAACCCCATCTCTACTAAAAATATAAAAAATTAGCCGGGCATGGTGGCGCACACCTGTAATCCCAGCTACTCTGGAGCCTAGGGCAAGAGAATCGCTTGAACTTGGGAGTCGGAGGTTGCAGTGAGCCGAGATTGCACCATTGCACTCCAGCCCATGCGACAGTACAAGACTTCATCTCAAAAAACAAACAAGCAAAGAAAAAACATTCCCTCAACCATAAATCAGCACCATCATCTACTCGATAGGCTGAAACCAGTCTTGATTGCTCCATGTTCCCCAAACCCAAGAAGACTGACCATTCCACTAATTGGTCTGAAAAGGCTTGCCAGAAAAAAGTATAGGTATTACCATGAGTGGGAATGGACCAAAATGTAGAATGAATTGCTAAATGTCTACCAGACTCCTTCCATCTTTCTCTAAACCTCTCATTCAGAACCTCCCTTTCACTCCCAAGTCATTTGGTAACCATTCTGCTTCCCTTCCATCTCCACATCTGACTTTTCCCTGCCATCCATTAAAGAAGGCCTGAAATGTAGGGAAGAACCAGTAGTACAACCACAGGAATTTTTGACATTGTCAGTCACATTTGGAACCATTTGTTCACGTCCAAGCAGGTCAAAGAGAAGACCTGGGCAGCAATGATTAGATTAAATGAATTCTTAATGCAAAGTAGCCAACACATTTATGTAAATTCTTTCTTGATAATGACAAAGACTTAGGGTTGTATAGATACCATGCAGTAGACACTGTTTTCTTGCAACAGACACTGCTTACTTGCAGCACACACTATTTCTGAATTTTGTGTTGAAATCTCGCGAGATCCACATACTTGGAAAACTCAATACTAGTGTAGATTAAAAAAAAACAACTCACTACAGGAAGTAAATTGGCATTCTATGTATTTGAGAAACTAATGTATAAAAATGCAAGTTAATTACAATTTACTTGGAAGGGGACCAATAATTCCACTTTTTAATTGAAAATAGTCTACATACTCCCAATAAATTCACAGTAAAATAAGCTTCAAAAAGACTTAAGATGCCAAAAAAAAGCCAGTAAATAAAACAAAATACATAATGTAGTTAATAACACAGATATGCTTGCCTTTAGACAATGCTTATATACTCAATTCTTATATGATTGAAAGATTCTGTAGTAATGCTGTACCTTTTTACAAAAATGTTTCCAAAAGAAAATCAAACATTTATGACTGGAGTTAGTTGTAGTAAGGAATTAGATGTGAGTGGTTGACTACTCTTTGTGCCTTCAAAGTTTTGCAGAAAATTCTGTCTTCTTTTCAGTCCATCCAAAATGACTGAATTATTAGATGCCAGACTCTGTGTCCTAAAGGTATTAAAAATAACAGAATTATTGGCTTCGAAGGGAACTTGGATTGCTAACCAAGGCATTATACTTTCATTTGTTACTTTGAAGTAGTACGTTTACTAATGCTAAGGTACACTGATCAAATAAGTTAACCTTTAAAAATATGAAGTGCTCTTTACATTTTAACAGCTTCACAATAGCACCTCAAGTATTTGACAGCTCTTTGAAAGCCTCTGTCAAATAACTGAGGTGCTACTGTGCTGTTTATGTTTTCTGAACAACATCTGTTCTCAGATCCAGTATCAAGTATATTCTAGTCAGAAACAGTAAGTTTCCTGAAAAACTTCTACACATCTGAAGTGGCCAATATCTTCCTGTGAAATTTATTACTTTTATGAGAAATCATATGGAAGAGAAAAGCAAACTATTGTATTTTTAATATTACAATGTCCTTTTCCAGGAGGTATAAGCTATATTAGTCCCTTATCTAACACAGACGGCTTGCCTCGGCCAACTCACAATACTGTTTGGTAGCCTGGGCACAGTGGCTCACCCCTGTAATCCCAGCACTTTGGGAGGCCAAGGCGGGTGGATATCAACTTGAGACCAGGAGTTTGAGGCCAGTCCAGCCAACATGGTGAAACCCTGTCTCACCATTGGTTTCAATACAAAAATTAGCCAAGCATGGTGGTGCACACCTGTAATCTCAGCTACTCATGAGACTGAGGCTTGAGAATCCCTTGAACTCATGAGGCAGAGGTTGCAGGGAGCCAAGATCACACAACTACACTCCAGCCTGGGCAACAGAGTGAGACTGTCTCAAAAACAACAACAACAAAACAAACAAACAAAAATCTAAAAACTATTTGGTTATTTTTGCTTTTCACTTTCCCACTTTGTTACTTTCCATCAACTGTCCATTACATTCAAATATATCTCAAAAAAAAGGCCGGGCGCGGTGGCTCAAGCCTGTAATCCCAGCACTTTGGGAGGCCGAGGCGGGTGGATCACAAGGTCGAGAGATCGAGACCAACCTGGTCAACATGGTGAAACCCCGTCTCTACTAAAGATACAAAAAAATTAGCTGGGCATGGTGGCGCGTGCCTGTAATCCCAGCTACTCAGGAGGCTGAGGCAGGAGAATTGCCTGAACCCAGGAGGCGGAGGTTGTGGTGAGCCGAGATCGCGCCATTGCACTCCAGCCTGGGCAACAAGAGCGAAACTCCGTCTCAAAAAAAAAAAAAAATATATATATATATATATATATATCTCTCTCTCAAAAATATGTCCTCCAATAAGTCTTCCTCTAAACAGCCTATCACTCAGTTTACTCAGTTCTGTAATTCTGTCATGACTTCATGCTTTGTTCTTAAGTTCAACTGGTCTATGTTTATTGTTTATCTCCTCAACTAAATTGAATGCTTCCTGTAAGTAGAAACAATGTCTAGTTCATCTCTATCCTCCTAATCCTTATAACCATTATGGCACACAATTGATGTTCAAATTTCACTTCCCTTTCCTAGAAATCTCTGTCAATTTTAGTTATAAGCCTTTTAAGAAAAGCATGTTGCTTAAAAATAGGTAATTCTTAAGAAATTAAGTTTCTCAAAATTTTTCAAATCAAAATTCCCAGTCACCTATCAAGGAGTAATGTCTCTCATCTGCTTTTGTTTTGTATTATTATTTTTTTTTTTTTTTGCCACAGAGAGAGAAAAAGAACCCATGGCTTGTTGGTTTACATCCTCATTGTTCATGTTTGAAGACGTTTTGATTCTCTTAAAAGACTTAATAGCTGGCGCAGTACCTCATGCCTGTAATCCCAGCACTTTGGGAGGCCAAGGTGGGTGATCACTTGAGGTCAGGGGTTCCAGACTAGCCCGGCCAACATGGTGAAACCCCATCTCTATTAAAAATACAAAAATTAGGGCCGGGCGCAGTGGCTCAAGCCTGTAATCCCAGCACTTTGGGAGGCTGAGGCGGGTGGATCACAAGGTCAAAAGATCGAGACCATCCTGGTCAACATGGTGAAACCCCGTCTCTACTAAAAAAATACAAAAAAGTAGCTGGGCATGGTGGCATATGCCTGTAATCCCAGCTACTCAGGAGGCTGAGGCAGGAGAATTGCCTGAACCCAGGAGGCGGAGGTTGCGGTGAGCCGAGATCGCGCCATTGCATTCCAGCCTGGGTAACAAGAGCGAAACTCCGTCTAAAAAAAAAAAAAATATATATATATATATATATATACAAAAATTAGCTGGGCATGGTGGCAGAAGCCTATAATCTCAGCTGCTATGGAGGTTGAGGCAGGGGAATCACCTGGACCCGGGAGATAGAGGTTGCAGTGAGCCAAGATCATGCCACCGCACACTAGCCTGGAAGACAGAGTGAGACTTAATCACACACAAAAAAAGATTTAATAATAATCTTTTTTTGTTTGTTTGTTTGTTTGTTTTTTGTTTTTGTTTTTTTTTTGAGATGGAGTTTCGCTCTTGTTACCCAGGCTGGAGTGCAATGGTGCGATCTCGGCTCACCACAACCTCCACCTCCTGGGTTCAGGCAATTCTCCTGCCTCAGCCTCCTGAGTAGCTGGGATTACAGGCACGCGCCACCATGCCCAGCTAAGATTTAATAATAATCTTTAAGTTTAATTGAAACTTAATAGTTTAATTGAAACAATCAAACTATTGTTTCTAAAAGAAAAGATCTTGTTCCCCCAATAAAGAAGTAATGATACGTTTTTAAAATGTAGATTTTTAGGAATATATCCTAAGAAAATACTCAGAAATACCCACAAACATTTTTATGCAAAAACAACTCACTGCAGGTTGACTTATTAATAGTAAAAATTTGAGAATGATCTAAATGTCAAGGAAAGGAAAATAGGCTGGGCACAGTGGCTCATGCCTATAACCCTAGCACTTTGAGAGGCCAAGACGGGAGAATTGCTTGAGCCCAGGAATTTGAGACCAACCTGGAAAGCATAGTGAGACCACATTCTTACAAAATAATAAGCAGCAGCAACAGCTGGGTGTGATGGTACATGCCTGTGGTCTCAGCTACTCAGGGGGCTGATTTGAGAAGACTGCTTGAGACCAGGAGGTGAAGGCTGTAGTTAGCCCTGATTGAACCACTGTACTCTATCCTGGGCAACAGTATGAGACCCTGCCTCTTTTTTAAAAAAGAGAGAAAACAAAGGAAAATAATAATATATATATAAATAGGGGTCCACATAATGGAATGCTAAACAACCATTAAAAACAACCTTGTGCCTCACACCTATAATCCCTGCACATTGGGAGGCCAAGGTAGGTGGATCACTTGAGGCCAGGAGTTTGAGACCAGCCTGGCTAACATGGTGAAACCCCATCTCTACTAAAACACACACACACACACACACACACAAATGTCTGGGCGTGCTGGCTCACGCCTGTAGTCCAGCTGCACAGGAGGCTGAAGCAAGAATAAAAAAAGAAGCTTGAGGCCAGGTGCAGTGGCTCATGCCTGTAATCCTGGCACTTTAGAGGCTAAGGTGGTGGATCACCTGAGGTCAGGAGTTTGAGACCAGCCTCGACAACATGGTGAAACCCTGTCTCTAATAAAAATGCAAAAATTAGCTGGGCATGGTGGTGTGTGCCTGTAATCCTAGCTACTCGGGCGACTAAGGCAGGAGAATCACTTGAACCTGGGAGGCAGAGATTGCAGTGAGCTGAGATCACGCCACTGCACTCTAGCCTGGGTGACAGAGGAAGACTATGTCTCAAAAAAAAAAAAAAAAGCTTGAGCTACATTTATCGATCACAGGATAGACATATATAAATTACGTGAAAAAAGAAAGCCATTGCTGTGTATGATTTGTTACTAAACATACTTTAAGCCCTGGTGCAGTGGTTCATGACTGTAATCCCAAAACTGGGAGGCCAAGGCAAGAGGATTGCTTGAGTCCAGGAGTTCGAGGCCAGCCTTAAAAACACAACAATATGTTGTCTCTAGTGGATCATGCCTTAAATCCCAGCACTTTGGGAGAATCCCTTGAGCCCAGGAGTTCAAGACTACCCAGGGTAACATTGTAAAACCTCATCTCTACCAAAAAATTAGCTGGGCATAGTATCAGGTGCTTGCAGTCCAAGCTGCTCCAGAGGCTGAGGTGGGGGAATGGCTTGAGCCCAGGAGGTCTAGGCTGCAGTGAGCTAGGATTATGTCATTGCACTCCAGCCTAGGTGACAGAGTGCAACACTGTCTCAAAGAAAAAAACCAAGAGCTTACAAATGCATAGAAAAAAGTATAGGGCCAGCCAGGCTCAGTGGCTCACACCTATAATCCCAGCCTTTGGGGGGCCGGTGAGGATGGATCACTTAAGCCCAGGAGTTTGAGACCAACCAGCTGAGCAACATGATGAAACCCCATCTCTTAAAAAAAAAAAAAATTAGTTGGGCATGGTGGCATGTGCCTGTAGTCCCAGGCACTCAGGAGACTGAGGTAGGAGGATCACTTGAGCCCAGGGAGGTTGAAGCTGCAGTGAGCTGTGATTGTACCACTGCACTCCAGCCTGGGCAACAGAGTGAATCACTGTCTCAGAGCAAAAACAAAACAAAACAAAAAACTAGCAAAAACATGCACCAAATTTTTAGAATGACCTTTGAGAAACTATTTAATAACATAAAGAAAATGTTCATGATAGACTATTAATTTTAAAAAGCAACATGCAAAATAGTAACTCAGTATGAGCCCAGTAGACAAAATCTATAGATCTAAACATTCAGACTGAAGTGTTATAGAGAAATACACCAAATATAAAATGATTCTTAAAAAATATCTAGATGTGGCCGGGCGCGGTGGCTCAAGCCTGTAATCCCAGCACTTTGGGAGGCCGAGGCGGGTGGATCACAAGGTCGAGAGATCGAGACCATCCTGGTCAACATGGTGAAACCCCGTCTCTACTAAAAATACAAAAAATTAGCTGGGCGTGGTGGCGCGTGCCTGTAATCCCAGCTACTCAGGAGGCTGAGGCAGGAGAATTGCCTGAGCCCAGGAGGCGGAGGTTGCGGTGAGCCGAGATCGCGCCATTGCACTCCAGCCTGGGTAACAAGAGCGAAACTCCGTCTCAAAAAAAAAAAAAAAAAAAAAAAAAAAAAAAATATATATATATATATATATATATGGATGTTAGGCTAGGTGTGGTGGCTCACACCTGTAATCCCAACACTTTAGGAGGGTGAGTGGGCAGATCACCAGAGGTCAGGAGTTTGAGACCAGCCTGGCCAACATGGTGAAACCCCATCTCTACTGAAAACACAAAAATTAGCCAGGTATGGTGGCAGGTGCCTGTAATCCCAGCTACTTGGGAGGCTGAGGCAGGAGAATTGCTTGAATCCAGGAGGTGGAGGTTGCAGTGAGCCGAGGCCACACCATTGCACTCCAGCCTGGGCAACAAGAGTGAAATTCTGTCTCAAAAAAAAAAAAAAAAGTATACATACACACACACACACACACACACACACACACACACACACACACAGATGTCAGAATAAGTATAGGTGTTTTTAAAAATATTTTTCACCCAGAAAGATTGTTAGCTATTTTATAAGAAAAAAAATGCTTTTCAGTCCTTTTTTTTTTTTTTTTTGAGACGGAGTTTCACTCTTTTTACCCAGGCTGGAGTGCAATGGTGCGATCTCGGCTCACTGCAACCTCCGCCTCCTGGGTTCAGGCAATTCTCCTGCCTCAGCCTCCTGAGTAGCTGGGATTACAGGCACGTGCCACCATGCCCAGCTAATTTTTTGTATTTTTAGTAGAGACGGGGTTTCACCATGTTGACCAGGATGGTCTCGATCTCTTGACCTCGTGATCCACCCACCTCGGCCTCCCAAAGTGCTGGGATTACAGGCTTGAGCCACCGCGCCCGGCCGAAAAATACTTTTCAGTACTTCTTAAGTGTTCATGGCTATACTACTTTCATAATCCAAAGTGTGTTTAAACAAATTGGCATGGAAAATATTAGTGGAGGCCGGGCATGGTAGCTCATGCCTGTAATCTTGGGAAGTTGATGTGGGTGGATCACTTGAAGTCACGAGTTCAAGAACAGCCTGGCCAACATGGAAAAATCCCATATCTACTAAAAAATACAAAAATTAGCTGGGCATGGCGGTGCATGCCTGTGATCCCAGCTACTCGGGAGGCTGAGGTGGGAGAAGTGCTTGAACCCAGGAGGCAGAGGTTGCAGTAAGCAGAGATCATGCCACTGCACTCTAGCCTGGGCAACAGAGCAAAACTCCGTCTCAAAAGAAAAAAGAAAGGAAAATACAGTGCAGATCGTGCCACTGCACTCCAGCCTGGGCAACAGAACAAAACTGTCTCAAAAAAAGAAAAAAAAGAAAAGATGAGTGGATAGTAGCCACATCCCTTTCTCTTGCAGAGCCAAGAATATAAGAGAAAACTTCCAAACCTTAGTTCAGAAAGTGCTTGGTTTATATAAATAAATTTCTTTCTTTTTTTTTTTTTGAGATGGAGTTTCGCTCTTGTTGCCCAGGCTGGAGTGCAATGGCGCGACCTCGGCTCACCGCAACCTCCGCCTCCTGGGTTCAGGCAATTCTCCTGCCTCAGCCTCCTGAGTAGCTGGGATTACAGGCACACGCCACCATGCCCAGCTAATTTTTAGTATTTTTTTTAGTAGAGACGGGGTTTCACCATGTTGACCAGGTTGGTCTCGATCTCTTGACCTTATGATCCACCCGCCTCGGCCTCCCAAAGTGCTGGGATTACAGGCTTGAGCCACCGCGCCCGGCCATAAATTTATTTCTATTTTTTGAAATAACTGAAGATTTTTGCCAGGCGTGGTGGCTCATGCCTGTAATCCCGGCACTATGAAAGGCCAAGGAGGATGGATCATGAGGCCAGAAGTTCGAGACCAGCCTGACCAACATGGTGAAACCCTGTCTCTACTAAAAATACAAAAATTAGCTGGGTGTAGTGGCACGTGCCTGTAATCCCAGCTATTCAGTAGGCTGAGGCAGGAGAATTACTTAAACCCAGGAGGTGGAGATTGCAGTGAGCTGAGATCGTGCCACTGTACTCCAGCCTCGGTGGCAGAGTTCAACTCCATCTCAAAAAAAGAAAAAAATAATTGAAGATTTATGAATAGTGGGACAGTCAAATTTCATTCACATTAAAAATAAACCATATCTTACTATATAAGAGATTTCATTGTAACTTTATACAATTTATTCAGTAAAGATATAAAAGCTGGGAGAATTGTTATCATTATAAAAGTGTGATATTCAGCAGTCTCTGACTAGGTAACTCAATATGCCCTTGATTTTCATAATTCCTGTAGGACAGTGGCTAATCAGACACGTGTGTGTGTGTACTCACCGTGGAGAATCTATTCCACTGTCTCCTGCCATGCTGTGATTTTCTGTCCCTTCCAAGTGATTGTGTTCATGTTGGCTATCCTGAGCCAACACTGGCATATATGAAGTGTTGAAAAGTTGGAACTTTTGTGGGAAATGTTTTCTCATTTCCTGATTCTGAGGACTCTGACTCCAGCTAGCTGGCTTCTTTTCTGTGTCACCAATAGAGTCTTGTGTGACTTCAGCTTCAGAACTGGCTTTTCTTGTGCTATAGTAATCAAAGATTCTTTCATCAGCAGGTGCTGAGGCCTGTACACATTTAGCAACACTGGATTCTTCGTTGTAGTTAAAACCAAACTGGGCCCCTGAATTTAGGCCACAACTTTCAGCAGAGAAGTTAGGTTTTTGGCTTTCATCTGTGGTAGCGTGCAGCCCAGTGAGTTTGTAGCATTCGTTTCTTTTAAGCAGCTGAGGCTCTACCCCCTCCATTGTGCTGTTGTACTCGGTCAGAGATCTCTCAGTCACTTTTTGTTTTCCTAAATTTCCCTGGCTTCCACCTGTGAAGGAATACTGAATGTGGCCAGGCAGCATTTGACATAAGTCATCATTCTCAGAAATGTCATCCTCCTCTAGATATAATGAACTACAGGCACCATCGTCATCTTCCACTTCATTCTGATACACGGCCTGGTCATCATCAGACAGCCCTTCATTTTCTAGGCTCATAGTCTCTGCATCCTGGACAAATCCTTTTCTCAATAATTCTTCTGAGTCTCTGTCATTTCTCTCAGGTTGTCTTAAAGGGTTCATGCCAACTGGGTAATCCAAAAGGCCAAGATTTTGAAACTGGTGTATGGTGTTATCCACTAATCTACAAGCAGAGGGTGTTCGGTCTGAGGAGGAGGCACCTCGTGATGGCCCACTATGCAGAGTCTCTTTGGTTTCCCCTAACTTGTCAAAGTGGGAATGACTTTCCCTCAAGACTTCAGGATTTACCTCATTTTCTCCACTATACCCATCATATCTCAACATGTTATCTGTAAAGGGACAGCATTTACCATCATTTTGCAAGACGATATGTTGAGGGTGATCTAAGAGGTGACCTCTGAAGTCATGATTGATGGGTTTGACAGTAGGGTCATTTATGTAAATGGATTCTGCTTCCAGATTATCATTAGGCTGTTCAGCATATGGCTGTTTGGCTTTACCATCAAAGATTCCTGAGGAATCCAAGGACCTAGGCCTTTGGAAAGACTTTTCCTTTGGTCCAGTCTGGCTGGGTTTCAGATCACTGGTCTTCTGAATTTTGTACCCTTTGCATATTGTGCTTCCTCGGTGAGACAAACCCTGAAAAGGATTACTGATTTGCTTTTTGTAAATCAAATGGGAACCTAGCACTGTTGTAATTTCACTAAGTGGTTTCTGACCTACCATTTCATCTGGGCTTTTAATTCTGGGGGCGGGCTGTGTAGCAGGGAGCTTGTGGTGTTTCTCCAGTCTAATGCTTCCTGGCTGAAGTTCACTTCCCTGATTCCTGGCTTTGTGTCTATCCCTACGAGAATGGCCCCGCCCTTGAGTTTTTACAGACAGACTCTGCCTTTTCTTAACTCTCTCTTTTGAAGGATATTTATGCCCAATTGTCAGCACATCAGTGGAAGTGCCCTGGCTATTATATTTTTTCTGTAATTCGTCTTTTTGCATTAAGACAGTGTGTTTGATTAAATTGTCAACGGTCAAAATGGGGTTAATTCGTTTGATTATCTCATGTTCAACATCTCGAGGTATATTGTCCAAGTCATCTTCATCTCGGACAGGCCATTCTTCGGGTGGGAACTGAGCAGAGAAACTTCTGTGTTCTGTTTTGGGCTTCTCCTTTCTAGATATGCTGCGCCATAAGAGACTAAAACCAAACTTCTTGCCTTTTTCTTTATCTCTTGTGCATGGTAAAGGTTTGGTGCTCTCACACATGTGGTGCTCCTCAGACACTGAAACTGCCCCATTCTGTACCCAAGGTACGGATTCCCCAAGACCTCTGTGACTGTTCCTAGTCACTTCTGCAGCAAGTGGTGGTTCCTGAACGTCCTGAGTGTGCACGTCCTGAAAACACTGGCAAGACTGACAGTGGGATATGGGGGCAGCATTCTCTTGGGTTGACTCTGCACAGCTCTCCATGCTCACCAGATATGTCATGGAAGCTGGCATCGGGTGACTTTCACCTGATGGCAGGAATTTCTTATTTTCCTGGGTGGTTGTATTTGTAATGAAGTAAGTCTGAGGAGTAACTATGAAGTATCCTTCTCCAGTGTGATAAATCTTCCTTTCTTTAATCAGCATTCCCAGAGTGGTATAGAGAATATCTTGAGATGGAATTGCAATACCTAAAACAGACAAGCATTTTACACTGATAGATTCTGAATATTAAAAATTTTAATGAGTGAAATCAGTAACTCTGAAATGACTACACATTGGCTTGATAAACGCAGAGCTGATTGTAAAATGATTAATATATGTGATTAAAATGCCAGGGCTGGGCTTGAGAGCTCATGCCTGTAATCCCAGAGCTTTGGGAAACTAAGGCAGGAGGATCACTTGAGCTCTGAGTTCAAGACCAGGTTGGGCAACATCGCAAGACTTGGTCTCTACAAAACATTTTTTAAATATTAGCCAGGTATGGGAGGATCATTTGAGCCCAGGAGTTCAAGGATGCAGTGAGCTATGATCATGCCACTGCACTTCAGCCTGGGCAACAGACCAAGACCCTGTTTCAAAAAAAAAAAAAAAAGAAAAGAAAGGTAAAGAAGTATAAATAATATTTATAACTTAAATAATAGGAATAGGCTGGGCACGGTGGCTCATGCCTGTAATCCCAGCACGTTGGGAGACCAAGGCAGGCAGATCACTTGAGCTCAGGAATTCAAGATCAGGCTGGGTAACATGGTGAAATCACGCCTCTACTGGAAGTACAAAAATTAGCAAGGCATGGTGGCGGGTGCCTGTAATCTGAGATGCTCTGGAGGCTGAAGTGAGAGGATCGCTTGAGCCCCAGAGGCAGAAGTTACAATGAGTCATAATCGCACCACTGCACTCCAACCTGGGCAACAGAGTGAGACCCTGTTTCAAAAATAAAAATAAAAATAACAGGAAAATAATTTGGTCCACACAAAGGCATATGTGTAGATTAATGAGTAAATTTAAAAAATCTGATTTCACTCAAATACAAACCCATTACAAATTTAAACTGAGGAAAGAATTCTTTTATTTTTACTTATATTTTTTAGAGATGAGGTGTCCCTATGTTGCTTAGGCTAACCTTGAACTCCTGGCCTTATGTGATGCTCTAGCCTCAGCCTACCAAGTAGCTGGGACTAGAGGTGTGGGCCACCCCACTAGGCTGTGGAAGGCATTCTTGATGAAAAAACGGGAGTTTTTAAAAACCACAGTCTCACAGCTTAAATATTTACAAGAGAAAATGAAAACTAGTCTGGTTCTTGGATGAGGGCAAACTACCTAGCATCAGGATATGGTATTAACAGTTCTTCAAAGCAAAAGGTAACAAAATGCAATGGCTCAAGCCTGTAATCCCAGCACTTTGGGAGGCCGAGGCGGGTGGATCACGGGGTCAAGAGATCGAGACCATCCTGGTCAACATGGTGAAACTCCGTCTCTACTAAAAATACAAAAAATTAGCTGGGCATGGTGGTGCGTGCCTGTAGTCCCAGCTACTCAGGAGGCTGAGGCAGGAGAATTGCCTGAACCCAGGAGGCGGAGGTTGCGGTGAGCTGAGATCGCGCCATTGCACTCCAGCCTGGGTAACAAGAGCGAAACTCCATCTCAAAAAAAGAAAAAAAAAAAAAAAAGAATAAAATATCTAAGTTTGCTGAAGCCAGATGCCATTCTTTGTTGTTGTTGTTTGAGACGAAGTCTCACTCTGTCACCAGGCTGGAGTGCAATGGCGCAATCTCAGCTCACTGCAATATCCGCCTCCTGGGTACAAGCAATTCTCTTGCCTCAGCCTCCTGAGTAGCTGGGACTATTGGTGCCCAACACCACGCCCGGCTAACTTTTGTATTTTTAGTAGAGATGGGGTTTTACCAAGTGGGCTAGGATAGTCTTGATCTCCTGACCTTGTGATCCACCCGCCTTGGTCTCCCAAAGTGCTGGGATTACATGGGTAAGCCATTGTACCTGGCTTAGATGCCATTCTTGAAAAGGAAGAAAATAAATAAAATAACAAGTGGTGTGTGCCTGTGGTCCCAGGTACTCAGGAGGCTAAGGCAGGAGGATTGCTTCAACATACGAGTTTGAGGCTGCAGCAATCTAAGAAGGTACCTCTGCACTCTAACCTGGGCAACAGAATGAGGCCTTGTCTCAAAATAGATAAATAAGTAAAAGAATGAGACATGTCAATATATGTTAGCATAGAAAGATCTCCAAGATACGTTTTTAAGTTAATAAGGGAACATGTTGAGGGAATGTATAGAATGATCCAATTTATGTTATATAAAATTTGTTATATTATCATATATAAGAAATGATAATAGCAGTTGTTATCTCTGGGAAATGAGAATGGAAAAATGGAAGGTGGGGGGAAATAAACTTTTTTTTCTCATTTTGCACTCCTTTTCACAGAGTGTGATTTAAATTATTTATTGCCATAAGCATTTATTTTTGGAAAAGGTTATCTGCAAAGTAAAAGAAATACCCTTATCAAATTTGTTGATGCAGGACTTCTTCTGGCAGGGTTCTGATATAAAGTTCTACAGAAGGGGAAAAAAAGGATATCACCCAGTTTACTTATGCGTTTAAGACTAATTATAGAAACCAAACACATGCAGTGAAGTACAAATGGAGAAAAACTTATTACTCTACCTGGGTAATGTTTCATCAAATGCTCCAAAAGTGATTCCTGTGTTACTACAATCTGAGCTGTATTCATATCAGATATAGCACAGCAAAGAACTTCACCCAAAGGTACAAACTGAGATTGAGTTATTGGATTCATTTGCACTGGAAAGACATCACCTAAATTGGAGATTTAAAAAAAGGGGGGGTGATAAATTTGATATAGTATAAAATGTTTGGAATTAGTGAAACAAGAATTAAAAACAGGTGGAATTGCAATTCTTTCATCAGTCTTTACTCAGAATCTGTTAACATGACATGTACAACGATAGAAACTATGAAAGAAAAAGATTTACCTTATGGTCTCTACTTTTAAGAAATGTGTTTTAACTGTCTCTACAAGAGATGGCAAGATTCCATCAGAAAGGCTCAAAGTATTATCAGAGTTCAGAACGACACACAAGGCTTACATACTAGTAGTTTACCATCTTTCAAAATATTTTTCCATATTACCTATCTTGTGAAAGGCAGACATGGGATTATGATTTCTTTACTTAAAATATATAAAGTTATAGAAAGCTCAAGTAATTGTCCCAAGTCTAAAAGCAAGTAAAGTGACAAACAGGTCTTCTGACTCCTGATTCAGTATTTTCACCATTCTACACTTTCCTCATTGGGATGAACGGGAAGATTTGAAGAAAGGCAGAAGTGTTTTCCAATTAGTAAGAAGACATGAACCTAAACCATGGAAAGCACATGTAAGAGTATGGCTAGAGTTATTCTGGTTCAATAGAATTTAAGGCTTACACAGGACCAAAGTGGAACACAGCCTGGAAATGTAAGCTAGATTATATCTTTCCTCTTAACCAGTATATTAAATGTTTTTCCTAAACTGTTATTAGTCAGGTCGAGTATTGGATTCTGCTGGACATTCATGGGAACCCTTCAATCAACTGGAAATGAAAGACTAAGACTCAGGAAGGAGATTTAGGAATCAACTAATAGAGATGAGATCTGAAGTTAAAGAGTGGAATACAGCCGGGCGCGGTGGCTCAAGCCAGCCGGGCGCGGTGGCTCAAGCCTGTAATCCCAGCACTTTGGGAGGCTGAGGCGGGTGGATCACAAGGTCAGGAGATCGAGACCATCCTGGTCAACACGGTGAAACCCCGTCTCTACTTAAAATACAAAAAATTAGCTGGGCATGGTGGCGCGTGCCTGTAATCTCAGCTACTCAGGAGGTTGAGGCAGGAGAATTGCCTGAACCCAGGAGGCGGAGGTTGCGGTGAGCCGAGATCGTGCCATTGCACTCCAGCCTGGGTAACAAGAGCGAAATTCCGTCTTAAAAAAAAAAAAAAAAAAGAGTGGAATAAATTCTTTAATAGGAGAATAAAGAAAAGCACCAAGAAACACCTAACTAAAACCAATCTATATTTAAGACATAGTAGGTGCTGGGGGTGGTAGCTCAGGCCTGTAATCCCAGTACTTTGGGAGACTGAGGCAGGAGGATCACCTGAGGTCGGGAGTTTGAGACCACTCTGGCCAACATGGTGAAACTCCATCTCTACTAAAAAACACAAAAATTAGCCAGGAGTGGTGGCAGGCGCCTGTAATCCCAGCTACTCAGGAGGCTGAGGCAGGAGAATTGCTTAAATACAGGAGGTGGGGCTGGGAGTGGTGGCTCATGTCTGTAATCCCAGCACTTTGTGAGGCCAAGGCAGGTGGATCACGAGGTCAGGAGTCAAGATCAGCCTGGCCAAGATGGTGAAACCCTGTCTCTACTAAAAAATACAAAAATTAGCTGGGTGGGTGGCGGATGCCTGTAATCCCAGCTACACGGAAGGCTGAGTGAGAAGAATCACTTGAACCCAGGAGGCGGAGGTTGCAGTGAGCTGAGATTGCGTCACTGGACTCTAGCCTGGGTGACAGAGCAAGACTCCGTCTCAGAAAAAAAAATCCAGGAGGTGGAGGTTGCAGTGAGCTGAGATGGCGCCACTGCACTCCAGCCTGGGTGACAAAGCAAGACTCTGCCTCAAAAAAAAAAAAAAAAAGAGAGAGAGACACAGTAGGAATAACAAAAAAGAGAAGGCACATAACAAGAGTATGAGAAAAAAGAACTTCATGACATCCAATTTTGGGGTAGAAAATAGAAAAAAATTTAAAAAGTAAAAAAATAAATTTTAAAAAAGAGACTTCAAAATAAATAATGGTCAACAGTGTCAAATGCTTAGATAGAAATCTAAAGGGTAGAGGAAGGAGAAAAGCCATTGGATTTCTTGATTGGAAGGTGCCACTGGTAACTTTTAAGAAAACAATTTCCAGCCGGGCGTGGTGGCTCAAGCCTGTAATCCCAGCACTTTGGGAGGCCGAGACGGGTAGATCACGAGGTCAATAGATTGAGACCATCCTGGTCAACATGGTGAAACCCCGTCTCTACTAAAAATACAAAAAATTAGCTGGGCATGGTGGCACGTGCCTGTAATCCGAGCTACTCAGGAGGCTGAGGCAGGAGAATTGCCTGAACCCAGGAGGCGGAGGTTGCGGTGAGCCGAGATCGCGCCATTGCACCCCAGCCTGGGTAACAAGAGTGAAACTTCGTCTCAAAAAAAAAAAAAAGAAAGAAAGAAAAGAAAACAATTTCATCCTGGGCATGGTGGCTCACGCCTGTAATCCCAAAACTTTGGGGAGATCACTTGAGGCCAGGAATTAGAGAGTGGCCTAAGCAACATAGTGAGATCCCATCTCTGCAAAGACAAACATTAAAAAAATTAGCCAGGGTGGTGACATGCCTATTCTAGCTGCTAGGGGGCCAAGGTGGGAGGATTACTTGAGCCCAGGAGTTAGATGCTGAAAAGAGCTATAACTGCACCATTGCACTCCAGCCTCTGTGAGAGTGAGACCCTGTCTCAAAAACAAAAAAAAAGAAAACTATTTCAGTAGAAAAGAAGACAGAAATTAAAAGTTCCAACTGAAGAAAAGGAAATTTGTGAGAAAAATGTAAAGTTAATGGGTCCTTGTAGAGCAGCGTTTCTTAACTTTGGCACTTTGACATTTGGGGCAAGATAAATAGATAGATAGATAGATAGATAGATAGATAGATAGATAGATATAGATATAGATATAGATATGATGACCAATGGTCCCAGTATGGCCAGGACTGAGGTGTTTCCTGGAACACAGGATATTCAGTGCTAAAAGCCTATAGCCAGGAAAGTTACCAGCAAACTGGGATAGGTAGCCACCCTAGCCAGATAATTTTGTGGTGGGAGGCTGTCCTGTGCATTGTAGGATATTTAATAGCATTATGGCCCCTACCCACTAGATGCCAGTAGCATTTCCCACAGTTGCAGCACCCAAAAAATGTCTCCAGATACTGCTAAATGTCCCCTCAATGGCAAAGTCATCCCGGTTGGAAACCACTGCTCTAGACCATTTGTATGCAAAATCTGATGGTGAATAAGGAGAAATAGATCATAAACCAGAAAGGAGTAGGATCAAGTGAATATGACTGGATGTGTGTGCATGTTGTGGTTTTCTCAGAATAAGATCTGGTCCCTTTGGATGCAAATGGGAAGGGCTTAGTGGAGATGATGGACATGATTCTGGGAGAGGGGAGATCAGTAAGAGAAGATCCCAGAGAGAGAAAGGGAAAGGGAAACTGTATCAAGGGCACAGGTAGAGAGGCTAGCTTACAAATGAGGAAGATGCTACTTCATCTGAGACGAGAAAATAATGGAGGGCGGCAGAAGACCAGAAATATGTTGAGGCAGAGAAGGAAAAAAATATACAGCACAGCAAAGTCATCTGACTTCTGTCAAGTTAGGAAGAAAATAGGAATGGAAGGAGGAAAAAATGGGAATAAGAGGATGGCAGGTGGAAAGGGGGTTTGAGGAGCTACTCTCAAAGTACTAGGAAAAAAAAATTAGAAGATTGTGAAGGAGCCCTGAGTCTCCAGTGATTTATGCATAGGTTTTGGCAGAGGGGTGGCATTTTGTAATGGAAAAGGGTCAGAGCTGGGGGAGGCCAGCCCATGCCTCTAAAACTTTAATGTACATATGAGGATCACCTGGAGATCTTGCTAATGTGCAGATTCTGATTTAGAGGCCCTGATTCTGCACTTCTAACAACCACCTGGGATTTTCATACTGCAGCTCTGAGTACTAATCTTTGGATTGGTAGAAAGTTAGGGTGTTAATGACAGCAATCTTAAAGTAGCTAACCATGTAACAAACATGGTCCTGGGGCTGAATGGGGAGTCAAGTGTAGCCAGAAGGAAGCTAAAGAATTAAGGAAACTTGATTATGCCCTTCAGTTAAACTCTCTGTTGAGGGAGGAAAGAAGGGAATGGACTGGCCAGGTATGAAGTGTTGAAGCCCAGAGCTGGTAAGTGGCCAATATTGTATTCTTTTTTTTTTTTTTTTTTTTTTTTTTTTTGAGACGGAGTTTCGCTCTTGTTACCCAGGCTGGAGTGCAATGGCGCCATCTCGGCTCACCGCAACCTCCGCCTCCTGGGTTCAGGCAATTCTCCCGCCTCAGCCTCCTGAGTAGTTGGGATTACAGGCACGCACCACCATGCCCAGCTAATTTTTTGTATTTTTAGTAGAGACGGGGTTTCACCATGTTGACCAGGATGGTCTCAATCTCTTGACCTCGTGATCCGCCCGCCTCAGCCTCCCAAAGTGCTGGGATTACAGGCTTGAGCCACCGCGCCCGGTGCCAATATTGTATTCTTATTGTATCCGCATGAAGATAAAGGACTTCAATAAGGAAATCATAAGCAGTTTGCTGTTATACTTTCCATTGTTCCCTTGTTTACTTAAGCTTCTCTATCTGGCCTTGGAAGGTCACATCATAAGGTAGAATTGTTGTCTGCTTCTGCAGCCTGGGAAGGATATCCTCTAGGTGTAGCTGTGGATATCCCATTGGGTAATGGTCAGAGGCCTATACCATGCTAAAAAGCTAGGATGAATGGCTAATCCATTGCTATTTGAAAGAGTGGTGACAGATGATGCCCTGAAAATCTGTCCAAGCGGGGCATTAATTTACCTAAAACTCAAAAGCTTCCTTGAAACTCAACTTCTGAACTGGAGGTAACAAGCCTCTATCCTCACTCCCTCTTTTTCTTTCTTTCTTCCTTCCTCATCTGAGTTTTACTTTCTTCATTTTCATCCCCCCACTTTCAA